GATAGTGTATACCATCTTTTTTTATTAGCTATCTCCTATGATATTTCATTAACCAAATCAGATAGACCAAACCGGATTTTCCAATAACTTTACTAGTTGAAGATCGCCTACGAATTTAATTCAATTCAACAAAATTAATGTTAACCTTTCCAGATCAATAGGTCACAGTTTAGCAAAATTTTCTAGCTGTGTGATTGCTAAAGAAGGTCAGATCTAAACTGCAGGGGTTTAGATAACTGAAGTGGAGAGTAGTCCTTCATAAGTGGACAAAAGTGTTAGATCCATACCTTACAGAACAAATTAATTGAGAAATTTTGTAGCAATTCATGTTGAAATATTTGAGAGGGCTTCAAATATGCCTTGCTACCAGGCAGGGACCAGTTATGCTTCACAGGAGGCCGAGATGAATGCCTTTCTCTTTTTACGGTATTGGATTGATCTAACGAATGGGGTTGGCTTCCGGGCATCCCAACTGAGAGTTTTGGAACAAGGAAATTAGCCACTGCTCCAAATGCATTTGATGCAGGTGTAGGAGCTGCCTCATTTTCACCAGCTTGCTCAAAGACAGTCTGCATTAAGATAACCAGTTACAACTGATACTTTGTATTTAATAACATCGCAGCTGTTGCCGGGAAAACATTATGTCAACCAACCATCATCTTATCAATTTCGCATACCTCAATCTGATCAATTGTCATTGATACATTATCAATGTCACCAACAATGTACAGGGTTGCATTAGCAGGGTAGTACCAACGTTCATGAAATTTCCTAATCTTGTCAGCATCCCACTTCTTAATCTGCTCCTCCAATCCAATCGGGAACCTTTTGCTCAGCTTGTTCTCAGAATGCAGATGCTGCAATAGCTGTGAAGCATACCATAGAAACATCAGATATTGATAAGGAAGACTACTACGCTAACCACATAAACTTAGTAAATGAACTTGATACCTGACAATCAACACGATACTCAATTGTGTTCATCATTTGAAGTTCTGAAAGTATAGCACGTCGCTCTTTTTCCACTCTAGAAGCAAGGAATTTTGGTTGGAAGGCAATCTTTCCACACAGAAAGAGTGAACAGATTTAGTACGATAATTCTCCAAATCATGCCATAAAGCTCAAACATATCATAATGTTCCTTTCGTCCCTACCTCATTCAAAGCATCCAGAACAGATGGTAGAAGATCTCCATCAGCACCCTGCAACACATGATGATTTCGATAATGAATACCAGCTGCAACAAAATTAACATACAAGTATTCCATGTAAACTGCCAAGTACATCGACTTAATCAACTAATCACACGTGCAAACTACACAAAGGAATAACATGCAAATTCAGAGGAAGCTAGAATAAGACGGACTTGAGACAGCAACAGAGGAGTAAGTGGATTAGCCACTTCATTACCACCTTTACTACACGTGCGCCCTCATTCAAAAAAAAAAAAAATTCCCAAGCAGACATAAAATAGAGTCAAGCTGAGAACTAAGAACATATGCATCAGAGTTATATACAGCACTCAACTAAGAAAAAAAATGCAACCATAGGAAAAGCATGCAATGCTTACTAGCTTCTCAAAGGGGAAAAGGGCTTATAAGATGCTGGACCTTATTAGTTGTTGGTGAGTGGATGTGGAACACTGTGTGGTGGAAATCAGTATAAGCATTGGATCGAGCACCAGTTCCAAGAAGTTTTTCGCGTTTCTTACTACCAAGGAATGCAACATGTTCAATCATATGTGCAATTCCCTGCTCATCGTCTTCCTCATCTATAGATCCTACATGAACTTCCATGTGTGCTTCAAACCTAAATGTCAACAAATTTAATATGCGTGTTAGAGAGATAGAGAGAGAGCAAAGACTATAAAACTAGTGTACCTATAAGCACAAGAAAAATCTTTACATTACAAGTCAATGTTAACAGAAGGTTCAAGAGCTGCAAAACTTCCCATCTCCCCTCATGTAGAAATGAAATAGGCAAAGCTTGCCTGCTCTTGTTTAAGAACAAATACCTAAAGCTTGTGAGATAAGAATATCCTAGTGTAGAAGAAAATTCCATTTCTTGGGTAATAAAATTCTACTTACTACAGATGTGGCTTTCAAAAAGATTTAGAGCAGTTCTTTGCCTAAGAGAATTCCTGACCAAATTAGTAAGAAGCCTTTCTACCAACAAATTAGTACCAATTAAAGTTGCTTTGTGAAAGACAAGCAAATTAACAAAGCTTATTATTTAGTAAACAATGGTTGGAGTATTTACACCTAGAAGTTCAGAGGATGTACCTGTTTGGCGGAACCTTGTTTGGTAAGATAAGATAGCGGAGTCCGGTTTTCAACTGCCCTCGGTATAATTTTGGATGAGAAGGCAGTTCGGAACCTAAGAACTCAGTCAGGCCCATCCTTTCTAATTCAGAGAATGGCATATCTGAATCTTGTCCCTCCAGGATGCCATCCGGGCAAACTGTACTTGCAGCATGTGGCTCATTGGGACCCACAGAAGCACGTGGAACATGGAGGCGCTTCACATGGAAATGGAGTAAGTAATTATCAGCTCATCTTCATATGTAAGATAGAAAATATTCAACAGCATAAAGGGAAGCAAGCAATGCATCATGATAACTGCCCTCGTACATTGCAGCATAGTTGTTCTCATGCTTTCTAGTCTAACTTTGGAAGAGCTCAATGAACATAAAATTCAGACTCTTCAGCTTATCAAATGAGGTAGAAAACAAAATTAGGGTGCCATACTGAATCAAGCTTGAAGAAATAATTAAACACATTCACAAACTGCTATGTTGATTGGTCATATTCACTTTCAACAATTCAGAGTCAAGTCCATACTAATACAACACTGTCCATGTAGTTTATGCTACTTTCAAAATGAAGAAGTTCACTCACTGAAGCAGCACTGGATGATTGTCCAGGAAAACGGAAAGTAGACTTGTCACTGAAGGCTCCCGGTAGGTACTTTTTCAATGCCGAACGGCTTCGTCGATATCTCATCGAACAGGACGCGCACTTGGATAGTTTGGAAAAAGAACCTACCTCCATCTGTTCCCCAAGAAATGGACTATATTGCCTGTGAGCCTTATTCTTCTTTCTACAAGAACTGCCTCCCCCATTATCAGCATCATTTGACCACCTTCAAAACACCATCTCAGACACCGTAAATTAAGTGTATAACAGGTGATAACTAACGTCATTACAGCTATTGCTTATGACAGGTGCGATGGAAAGAGACCGACGAGACGAAAGATAGTTATTATATATTAAGCATCCACAGGTAAGCGCGGGAACCACATAACAGAATACGCAATTCATCATCAGTCAGAAACAGCTAGAAATAACGAATTGAGCGTTCTGATCAGGGGACGAGAGTTCTTGGAGCTAGAAACACGAGTCCTAAGTGCAGAGAAAAGGAACTATAACAAGAATCACTCCAATCAACGAATTCAGCATACCTTCTAGGGGCAAAGATGGCATGAGACTTAGCATGGAATCGAGTCAACGGTGTGCAACGAAGCCTTGGCAACGGTCGAGGCTGTACGGGATTGAAGCTCTTGTTAACCCTGGGGAAACTTCTGCCATCCTTCTTCGCAGTGATACGAGGAACGGTCGTCATCGGCAAGAAAGCCGAAGCAGCCGTTGAACTTGCAGACGCCATTGCTGCGTCCAACTGCGGCAAACAGAGCAAATGACTCGATATTCAGTTATGCAAAAAAAAAAAAAACAGCAAAGAAACCACCTCCGTCGCGAAAACCACCAACCAACGGGAACTGAGCCGAAACGAAGCTCAAACAGAATTGGAAAGGAAATGAATGATTGACAAGAGCGACGGAAGAGATGCCAATGAAGGTTGAAGACGTACTTGCGGATTTCAGTTAGCGGTTACTGATTCTCTCTGATTTGGAATTAGGTTTTCGATTGGTTTGGCATGGGGAGAGAGGGGATTGATTGTAACGAAGAAATTATGGAAAGTTGGAAACCAGAAATTGAGCACTGCTTATTGCCTATGTGCTTTGCTTTGTTTCTTTCTTCTATCTCCTTCCCTCTCCGCCCCAAGATTTTTTTCTTCCTGTTTTCTCTTTTTTATTTTTTAATAGATTTTTCTGTGCTTGCGGGTTAATGTCGTAACGAACGACCATTAGCCGGGGACCGGGCCTGATCCATCCATGGCCCAATATATAGCGGACTGGTAATTATCAGAAATGGTGACTAAACTATAGCCGTTTATACAAAATGATTACAGATCTTATGTTTCGTATGGAATGATCACATAATATCGAACTTGTTAGAAGATGGTAACTTTTGTTGATTTCACGATCAATTGTCCGAATTTCAAGGTGATTATCGAAGGCCTCAGAGTAAGTCATCTGCTAACTTCAACAAAGGGCGTGTTCGGATTCTACAAGCGGGTCGATTCTTCTTGATTGTCTTCAATTGTCTTGCTCTTTTTATGATGTCTTAAATTTTAGGACAATTTTATGAACTACAAACTGTGTTGCTCATAGAGAGTTTTTCTTTGTGATGACTTTCTTAGAGTTAGTGTCTTTCAATTTTGTAGACAGGCTCATGTTGCTTTTTCAGTTATTAGGCATAAGTGGACTTGGATACTTGTTAAACTAATATCTTTTCGGGGGAAATTTTGAGTGGGTAAATATTAGTGATTTGGATCGGGTTGCAGTTCTTTTTTATTCGCCCCTTATTAGAACGTTGGTTATCAACTTTAACAGTTCTTCAATGATGCCTACAGAGTACAGAGTTACAACTTTTTCTGATTGTTGGGTTACGACCTTCTTCAGTAGAGTTTTCAAGTTTATTTGAGTAAATGCCTAAATGGTATAAAATCTATAATTAAACTTCTTTCATAACTTGAATTATTGAGACTAACTTATTTTTAATATGAGAGGCGTTGATAATCAACAAGTATTGTGTTTAGATTCCGATGACTCCCATTAGTTAAGCACATATATGTGCAAACTTCACCACATGTATGAGTTGGTTTCCTTGAGTGGAGTATTAGTTCCTTAAACAACTCAAATTATTGAAAGTGTTGTTGACAAATTGTAGATTCTGTTTATTTACTTATTACAAAATCATACTTCAAGAATATAGAAAATACTGAAAAGAGAACTTCTGATATTACAAAATCATACTCCAAGAATATGGAAAATACTGAAAAGAGAACTTCTGATGACTCCTGAAGAGTCATGACAAGAATGAGAGAATTTGCAAAGTCCACTCCCTAAACCCAGACTAATCTACATCCAATTGCAGGATGTCATCGGGTTTCTGTTTCTTTCGCATTAGACTCTATGGATTACTGGTTGGCTTCTGTCAATTGGTAGCTATGGACGAAGCAGCATTAATCGTCATTTAAGTTCAGAGGACCTTCAAGAGTTGCACCTCAAATACCAGAGGCTCCCTTGCATGAGTTAATAGGCTACGTCGAGGACCAAACTGCAACAACCAATTCGACAGAAGAACAAGCACAAACAGTTAACATGACGATTTACATCGCTTTCCACGAAATCAAATGCAACAAGGGTCTAGGAACTAGCTGACCTCATCTGGGATGGGTTTCAAGCTCTCACTGACATACCCAGCAGATGGTGGTATCAGAGCTCTTCTCTTGCCTACAACAGGTTGCAGGAAAAAGGGGAGATCGTCAGCAACAGTAGTTTAGTTCAAATCCCCCACCAATGCATGATGTCTAGTTTAAGAACACACACCTCCAACTTTCATCCCAACTAGAACCTCCTTTAAGCCCTTGATAATCTGCCATTGTAGAGACGTTATTTGAAGCACGATTTCAACAAAAGAATCTTTGTAAATAATTAGGCATGGATATTAAAGGGTAAGCTAGCTTAGAAGGGGTTCCCATGAGGCGGCATGAAGTGATCAATATCTAAAAGATGGAAAATTATCTCCAATGAGCCATGGACCTTGATTTTCACGATCTATCGAGAAAATAATCGTTTTAAAGCAATCATGCATCCAACTTATGTTCAGACTAATCGATTATCCACTCAAGCAACTATGCTACCTGGTTCTCATTCAAAGGAAGTATGACAGGTGAGCTTTCCCCACTGAATTGATCCACTGTGCTGTAAGCAGAGGCAGGAGTCAGAAGCAAGCACAACCAACCAAATCGACCTAAAAGGAAAGACAAGGAAGATATCACAGTTTGTTACCTGTGAACAAAATATCCATTAGAGCGTCGACATACATAGTTTACTTCAACAACATCTCCTTCCTGAGCTTCTGGTCCTTCTCCTTCAATAATCTCTACAACCAAATAAAACCAGGAAAACATAGCTGAAGCCTGAACATATGCCAACCAAAACGCAGAATTGAGTGAGCCCCTGAACGGCTGAACCAACTTCTGGCATGTACTTCAGGGTTTCGGCAAAAGTAACAACTATGATACAACTTCATACCAGCAGAAGTAGCAATTCTACTAGTCATTTGTTGCTGAGGACGTTCAAATGTCCGTTACTACAAGTCAGAGCTAATCTATCACAAGTCTATAACTAGGCTTTTGCTTCTAATAAAGAATTAAGTGGATTACCTTGAATTCTAACCCCGCTGTCAAGCTTCAACGTCCTGGATTCTTCAAAGCACAAACAAACGCAGATCTCATATCAATTATCATTTATCATTTATCAAGGCCAGATAAGATAAGGCTGAATTCTAAAGCTTACGCAACAACAATTGAAGGAAAGGAAATAACTATTTACACACACAACTCCTCTTTACCTAATAACTTCAGGCTCCTCCGTTGCTGGAATGGGTGCAGCAAAGGCGGGATTAAGAAGGTGGATAAAGGACATGTGGCTAACAAACTCCACAATCATCCTCCGGGGAAACTTGTTCGTCGTCGCAGACCCAAAATTCCCATTCATCGCCATTGTCACAGCATCCCTGGGTCTCCCGATTCTGGGTTTTCACACGAAGTGGGAGTAAGCAGGGAATCGAAGATCCTTCCCCAATACAGAAGTAATATACCGGAAAATCGAAGAAGCAGCAAATGGGAATATGCTGAAAGACATGCAGCGAAATGAATTACCTCGCCGAAGGGTAAAGCTGAAGGCGGAGACGAAAGCTACACTGTGACGACAACAGAGAATTCATGATGGGATTTCCGTTGTTGCACAAGAGCAGCAGACTGTTCAATTCATGGAGCTTGATAATGCTTGCAACTAGATAAGGATTAAGGAGTTCAAAGATGGCGCGAATTTTGGGCCCCGTTGTTCGAGCCCACGGTCCAGACTTTAAGCCAAGGCCCATACTTTCCCATCAGAATCTGGTCCGTTGAAGCATACTAAAGGAAAAGACAAATGAATTAGGACCGTTGAATTAATCGTACCACCGCAGACGCGACAGATGTAGCTTCATAGGATCATCCACCGTCCAGCGCAACAGATCCAAGTCCGAGTCAGCCCTCTCCCTCCTCTCTTCCCCAAATTCGAATTTTCAGAAAACCCCGTTCTCTCTCTCTCTCTCTCTCCCTCTCTAGCCTCGATAACGGCTAGATTGATTTGCTACTCACTTCCTTTCTTGTCTGTTCTGCTTCTCCCAAACCCTCCCTCCTCTTCTCTCGCCACCTTGCCCGAAAATCCCCTAAACCAGAAATTCTCCGCCGCACTTCCCTCCCCGGCAGCGGAGATTCTGGATTCACTCTTCTCTCGACGGCGGCGTAACTATCAAGAATCAGAGATGAAGCATTTCATGCTTCCCAGGAACCCGGTGTTGCGGGAAGCTACTAGCAACGAGGCTCCCACTCCTCCTCCTCCGCTGGCCTCTCTCAAATCGAAGCCTCTTTCAGCTTCTCCTTCGCCGTCAGTTCCTCCCCGGCGACAGAAGCCGAACAAGGAGAATGCACCGCCGCCGCCGCCGTCAGATCTCAATTCCGATCTCAAGCAGCACCCGTCGCCTTCTCCCTCTCCGGCTTCTAAGATCAGGAGTCCCCTCCCGCCCAAGCCTCCTTCCTCTAACCCGTTGAAGCGGAAGCTAATTATGGATGGCGCTCAGGATCCCACGCCTTCCGATTCTGGAGTTCAGGTCGCGCCTCGAATCTCAACTGGAAATGGAAGTGTGGTTTGAGGTTTCTTTGTGGACATGGCCTGAGTATCTGTTTCTCTTGTGACTCGTTGGGAGAGGCATTTTTGGAAGCTTTAATTTAGTCTATGAATCCTTCTTTACTGTTTTCCATATGCATCTATGAATGTCTGTCTTCTGCCTTCCTTGCTGATTTCCCCATGTTCTGTACTGATGTATCAGGTTGTTGTTAGAATGCGTCCACTGAGTAAGGATGAGGAAGGAGAATTGACAGTGCAGAAGCTTTCCCATGATTCCCTCAGCATCAATGGACACAACTTCACCTTCGATTCTGTTGCTGATATAGAGGCAACACAGGTATACCCTCCTTCAATAAGCTGTGGGTGATTTCCAAAAGTTTTTGGATTGTGCTCTTGAACCTATATTTCCTTCTTTGTAACTATGATCATCTTGTTTCCGCAGCAAGACATTTTCAAGCTTATAGGAGCCCCTCTCGTTGAGAATTGTCTAGCTGGATTTAACAGTTCAGTATTCGCCTATGGACAGGTATCTATCTTCTTTGCATCTGCTGTCCTTTGCTTTGTTCTCCAAATAGTTGTACAACTACAATGTCATGTTGTCATATATCAAAATCATTACCCCCTTGCATGAAAATTGTTCAGACTGGGAGTGGAAAGACATACACTATCTGGGGTCCTTCTAACATCTTGTCAGAAGTTGGCTCCTCAAGTGATCAACAAGGTTTAACCCCTCGTGTCTTCGAACGGCTCTTTGCCCGCATAAATGAGGCAAGTCAATCTTGTTGTTAGACTTTGTTGCTATCTTCTGCAAATGTTTTTCACTGTTGTAACCTGAGTATTTCCACTCCAGGAGCAAATCAAGCATGCTGACAGGCAACTCAAGTATCAGTGCCGGTGCTCCTTTCTAGAGGTTGAATGCTTGCACCATTTTTGTCTTATAATTGATTTCTCGAGCTTTCTTGTTGTTCTCCCTGCTTGATTCTCCATTTCCATGTTGCAGATTTATAATGAACAAATTACTGATTTGTTGGACCCAAGTCAAAGAAACCTCCAGGTAAAATTGAGCAAAGGTTCTGTAGCTTTATCATCAGTGTTTCAATGAGCACATAAATAGCTTCTGCATATTCATATCAGTTCTTTCTTGGCAGATAAGAGAAGATGTAAAGTCTGGTTTGTATGTTGAAAATCTGACGGAGGAGCATGTTTTCACATTGAGAGATGTAACTCGGCTACTGATAAAGGTTTGGACTCCTGATATGTAAATTGAACTTCGTCAGCATTGTCTATGAACGATCTAGATGCTGAAGTACATGGACAATTATGTGCTTGAAACTTTGTAACTAATGAAAGTGCATCCTTACCATACATCAATGAAAGTAATTAGATGTTCTTAAATTTACGTGTGGCATGTTCGATTGTATTGTAATCCATTTGGAACAGCTTTTCCATATAGAGGATTTCTTGCATTGGCTGTTGGAAAAGACTGCACCTAGCTTGAGTTCATATATACGTCTTTTAATAAGTCAAAACTAGGAAGTTGTGTAACATCTTAATCTATTGTCCATGAAAGCAAAAACCGAAAGAAGCACCCATGTAGTTGCTCAGTTTGCCAACCTAGTCTGGAATTGGATAACAGCTTTGGTCATTAGGATATTTGGAAGTGTACTTTTTTTTTTTTACGATTTCTATTGGTACTCATTTATGTATCTGTAGGTAATTTCTCATTCATTTTCAATGTCTTATCCTCCTCTATGCACAACCTTCTGTATTTAAATTGTCTCCTGGATATCTCTTTTACTTTGATCACTAAGCTGGTTGTTAATAAATGATTTGCAGGGATTATCCAATAGGAGAACAGGTGCAACCAGTGTTAATGCAGAAAGTTCCCGCTCACACAGTGTCTTCACCTGCATTGTTGAATCCCGATGCAAGGTAACATTGTTAGCTTTAGTTTTTGATATGGTTGGGAGAGAAATGTTTGGTATAAGCCTTCTCTTGCCTACAGTTTGTCACAAGATCACATATAAATACTTGTAGTCTCACATGAAGTATATGTTTTGTAGAGCATGGCTGATGGCAAAAGCAGCTTAAAAACAAGTAGAATAAATCTTGTTGATCTTGCTGGGTCAGAGCGACAGAAATTGACCGGGGCTGCTGGGGAACGACTGAAGGAAGCTGGAAATATTAATCGATCTCTCTCGCAGCTTGGGTATGTTGTGTTTTTAGACCACTAAGTACTGGTCCTAAAAAGTTATATTCTGCTCTAAATTTCTTTATGAGAGGACACTTGATCTTGGCCACTGGCATACATCCAGCTTTCATACTGTTGTTGTCATATTCTGTTAGCACTTAGAGTTATAGTGTAGGTCTATCATTTTGCATTTGGGAACGTTAAGTAGGATGGGCTAGGTGCTAGTTAGTTTTTGGCATTCTCTTCCCCAAAAAGTTAGTTTTTGACATCTCTTATTTAGGAAAATGTTTGCCCCCTGGGCTTCTGAAGGTCATGCTCTTAGGTTTTAGTTGAAGGAGAATCCAATAGCATGGGATTGTTTCCATAGTTTGAAATTGATGCTTTCTCCCTGGAGACTGATTGTACAGCACAATGGGGAATCTGTAGCAATGATAATCTATTTGACATGGAGAATCTGATATGCTTCAATTTGCAGAAACTTGATAAATATACTAGCCGAAGTGTCGCAGACAGGAAAACAGAGGCATATACCTTACAGAGACTCCAAGTTGACTTTCCTATTGCAGGAATCACTTGGAGGCAATGCAAAATTAGCAATGATTTGTGCTGTTTCACCCGCTCAGAGGTTAGAAAAACCAGGCTAATTCATTTCAAGCAACTCCATTTCCCAAATTTTGTATTTCTCATGATTGTTGTTTATCAACAATGCAGCTGTAAGAGCGAGACTTTTAGCACATTGCGATTTGCACAGCGTGCAAAGGCAATAAAAAACAAAGCGGTTGTTAATGAAGAAATGGAGGATGATGTGAATCATTTGAGAGAAGTGATACGGCAGCTAAGGGTAACTTCTTCACCAAAAACTGGTTGACTATGTTCAGTACTGGATATTTTGTGTCTTATAACTCATATCAATTGATGTATCAGGATGAGCTTCACCGAGTGAAGGCAAACAATACCAACCAAACAGGTTGGGATCCTCACAAAAGCCTAAATATCTTGAAAAGCCTCATGCATCCACACTCTCTGCTCCCTAAAATGGACGAGGATAGTGACGAGGAAATGGAAATCGATGAAGAAGCTGTTGAGAAGTTATATGCAGCAGTCTCTGAATATCAGCCTACCCGTAACAGCAGATGTGCAATACAAGATGTTGATATGGAAGAAGGCACATCTGAACAAGTTGAGGATCGGAGTATTTCTATTGGAGGCTGCACTGATCCTGCTGCTAGTACAACTCCAGGTTTATGCACTGTCCACTTGCACTCACACTGCTTGTGTTTTGCTGAACTATCAAAAGTAGGTTTTGCTTATTGGCTTTGTTGGTGTGCTTGATACAGATACCAATGATAATACTGCTGATCACACTTCAAACGAAGTCTTGGATCATGCTGCATTGACTGCCACCTCTGATTCTCAACCCGGAGTCTCAACTGGAGCTGTGCTGCCGGTTCTCAAGTCACCTACTCCAAGTGTTTCACCCAAACTCACTGGCAGCAGGAAAAGTCTGAAGACTTCATGCATGTTGACTGCTTCTCAAAAAGCTTCTATTGATGGACGAGAGGCATGCCAGGAGAAGTCATTTGCTCTTGCAAAACCCAAAGAAAGTTCTTCAGCTCTGGCTACTAGCACAAGCAAAAGCGTTTTCGCATCAACTGATCAGTTGGCAGCGAGCATCCATCGGGGACTGGAAATTATAGACAGCCACCCAAGAAGTTCAGCTTTCAGGCGGTCGGCTTTTAGATTTTCATACAAACCTGCTGCAGAAACTCAGCCAAGCCTCATCGTCGAAAAGTTTGATGTTGGAGTCCAGACAATGTCTCATGATTATGATCAGGTCGAGTACATATGCAAGATATGCAAGGGAAAAACAGAACCCGAGGTGGTAAATGGCATTGATGACTGCTGCTCAAACCTTCAGTTGGTTCCTGTTGAGGGCTCAAACCTTCAGTTGGTACCTGTTGAAGGCTCAGGCTCTGCCGAAAAGTCCAAAATGCTAGTCCCCAAGGTAAGTAACCTGTCTGTTAGTTGTTGTACTAGTCTCTCTTGTATGAACTTACTTTTGATGTCAAATAAATACAGGCAGTGGAAAAGGTATTAGCTGGAGCTATCAGAAGAGAGATGGCTCTTGAAGAGTACTGTGCAAAACAGGATTCAGAAATAAGGCAGCTTAACCGTCTGGTTGGTTTACAGCCATTGTTTTTTTCCTTCCCCACAATCTCTGGATCTGCTTGAATTTACCTTTTGAAACGTTCGTCACAGGTGCAACAATACAAGCATGAGAGGGAATGCAATGCTATCATTAGTCAGACAAAGGAGGACAAAATTCTGCGCCTTGAGAGCCTTATGGATGGTGTCCTGCCTACAGAGGAATTCGTGGAGGAAGAGTTTGCATCACTCATGCATGAGCACAAGGTGGATATGGTTTCTTATATTATCTTTTTTAGATGTAATTTACATTCCGCATTGCCTCACTCAATGATTTTTCCAGCTTCTCAAGGACAAGTGCGACAACCATCCTGAAGTCTCAAGGCTGAACATTGAGCTTAAAAGAGCCCAGGAAGAGCTGCAAAACTACCGGAATTTCTGTGATTTAGGTGAAAGAGAAGTTCTTTTGGAGGAACTTCAAGACTTGAGAAGCCAGCTACAGTTTTATGTAGACTCCTCATCAGCATCTGCTCTTAAAAGGAGATCGGTATTGGAGCTGACGTATCTGAATGAACAACAGCCCAATCTTGGCACAATCCCAGAGTCTACTGAGGATGGCGCTGAAGAGATGCTCGAGTCTAGCGAGGATGGTGCAGAAGAGAAGCTCGAACAAGAGAGAGCTCGCTGGACTGAAGCTGAAAGCAAGTGGATCTCCCTTGCTGAAGAACTGAGGGCAGAACTCGATGCCAACAGGACTCTATCCGAGAAACAGAAGAAGGAGTTGGACATCGAGAAGAAGTGCGCTGAAGAGCTTAAGGAAGCCATGCAAATGGCCATGGAAGGGCATGCACGGATGCTCGAACAGTATGCAGACCTCGAGGAGAAACATATCCTGCTTCTTGCAAGGCACCGGGACATCCAGGATGGAATCGAGAACGTCAAGAAAGCAGCAGCTAGAGCTGGCGTGAAGGGTGCAGAGTCTAAGTTCATCAATTCACTCGCTGCAGAAATTTCGGCATTGAGAGTGGAAAGAGAGAAAGAACGGAGGTACTACAGAGAAGAGATCAGAGCGCTTCAGGCTCAACTGAGAGATACAGCCACTGCTGTACAGGCTGCAGGGGAGTTACTGGTGCGGCTCAGAGAAGCTGAAGAAGCTGTTGCTCTTGCTCAGGTAATAATTGCTATTTGTTTTTCTTCTCAGCAACGCATAAGTTTAATGAAAAAGGATTGAATTCACAGCAATGACTCAATGCAGTTAAAGTAAAACTAGATTGAGTGCTGAACAATGGGAAAGTAACTTGCACTGCACGCTTTCTTCTCCTTCCTGACAGGAACGTGCTACGGGGGCAGAGTTGGAAGCTGCAAATGCGGCGAAGAAGATCAAGAAGTTGAAGACCAAGCATGACGAAGAGATCGTGTCCTGGAAGATGCTTCTGGCTGAGTCACGTCTACCTAAAGAGGCCATACCACCTCCAGATTTGCCAGAGCCAGAGTTGTGTTCTCCTTCCACGGCCAAGTACGATGAAGGCGAAGAATGGAGGGAGGAGTTTGACACATCCTCGTGGTTCTCGGGGTACGATCGCTGCAACATATGAACGCGGTGGTCTCAGTGTGTACAGGTGTAGTAGAATTGACGAATGCATCGTCAGTACTGCAATGTATGTTTGTTGTTTACTTGGTCAATAGCTGGTGGTGGTTACTTCTCGTCACCATTCTGTGAGGGTTTTGAGAACCACCAATTACAGAACATTGTCAGCCCTTTTACTGTACTGCAAGTTACAAACAAGAGTCTCTGATAATGCAGAGAGTATTTCTCTTACGATTTACTACAACCTTTCACTGAGCACAACCATAGACTTGTGCTAGAAAATTAGCCGTCAGGTTCATATAGTCCAGTGAAGACGGAAGTTATAGTAATAGAGCTACTCCGTATGTGGGCCCGGGGGTAAGCCCATGTGCGACGTTCTCATCTCTTTGTTTGGAAAATATATGCAACCCAGAAAGCCCAAAACCATGATCTTCAGCATAAAGACTTATTTACCCCTCCTGAAATTCTGCATAAATAACTTGTGTGTGTGACACGAACTTTTCAAATGAAAATTTGTGGCATGAACCTTTTGTGTTACTAATTTACAATACATCATAACATCTATTATTTCGTAGGGCGATATGTTTAACGGAGTTCATCAACCTTAAGGGCAAAAAGTCTTTACACCACGCCTATAGAACTTTTAACCCAAATCATCCACAAAGTTCGCTTTCTATGCACTGATTGCAAGTTTACCGCCAAAAAAAAAATCATTGGTTACAAATGTCATCAAATACACAAAACTTGGTATTAAAATGTCATACATTGAAAATTCGTGCTGTAAATATGATGCACAACTATAAAATTGATGATGGAAACTTGGAAACAAAGAAAATTGATGTTTGTCCCGGCTCTATGGATCCGTTTTGCAACTTCCGCCGAAACAGACAAAAGAAAACGGGAAGTGGGCTGCGCCTGCAGATTGGAACGTTGTGTCGTTGGACTTGGCCCGTAGCGTACCAATTGCCCACCGAAGAATATACCGGTCGCCGGAAGGCCAACGATGCGACGATCTACCAAGTAGTATTAGTGACGGAAGCAGGCAGGAAGAAAAAGGACAACGAAAAGATACTAAGCACCAAAATGGGTAAATTATAATTTAATCTCTCAACGGAGAGGATTACTGGTACAAACAATCATTGGAAGCTAACGGCAGTTCCCTTCCGTTCCCTCTTCTTCTTCGTTCTTCTTATTTTTGTTTTTATGTAGTGGTGGTGAGTGGAGAGAGACGCGCCAAACCGCGCTGTGTTATAGTATTTATCCGATTCCTTCGTCTCCCCTGCACTGTCTTCTTTCGGCCGGCCTTCCGCGGTGGACACCTGTACCGTTGCTTGCCGGCGCGGTGTGGGTTCCTTCTCCACCCAATTCCCCCTCTTCCCAACTTACAGCAACCAACCAACACAAAGAGAAAGAAACAGCTACCGAAACTAAAGAGGTAAGTGACTCCAATTTCGCTACTTTGCTGTTTCACCTGTCACTAGTAAGCCTGCCCAGCTACTTTTCGAGTTCCCAACTAGAGAAAAGGACCCAACTTTGATGATGGGTTGTGTTTGAATTGTTGGGTTTTGATGGATTACCATTGATGCAGAGGCTATATCAGTTTCAATCTTATTCTTTCCTTTTCAGGACTCGGTTCTTGTAATTGGGTGATCAGGGATTTCTGTGGCTGCCGGCTGTTCCCTTGATATAGTGTTCAAATAGGCAAGATGAGTACTGTATATGGGAGCGCCATGGCCAGCGTCTCCTCTCTCAAATTGAGCTGCGTGGACAATAAAGCTGCTGGTGGACTTGGCTTCAGAGGCAGTGAATCAATGGGCAATTCTCTCAAATTCCATTCCGTTAATCTTGCGACCACCAGATACAGGAACAATTGTTCTGCTCCCTTGAAGGTGTGCTTGTAGACACCATACTTGGTTTCCGTGGCCATCTTATTTCTAGTGTCACTTCAATGGACACCTGGCTTGTTTTCGTTGCAGGTAGTGTGCGTTGACTACCCAAGACCCGACCTTGACAGCACCGCCAATTTCTTGGAAGCTGCTTATTTCTCTGCCTCCTTCCGCTCTTCCCCTCCCCCACCTAAGCCCCTGAAGGTTGTCATTGCTGGTGCAGGTAAAAGGATTGAGCTGTGGAACATTCTGATTTGGAAACACCTTGCCTCTTGATTCTGTTAGTTCAGGACACCACTTGGCCTTATTGCTCTAATATACGCTTTTTTGCACATTCTCCAGTAGTTGCGCCAATAAGGGACCAAAAGCTAGCTAGAAAGCCATATTTGTTGAATTATTGCTTGCAATGATATGAATTGTGCCAACTTGATATCGTCATTACAGTCGATCCTAGTTTTCAGATGTCGATGAATGCTTTCTATGCTTCCTTATCCCTTTTCCTTTGTAATCTAATAGACTATAAACTAATGCAGGTTTAGCTGGTTTAGCAACAGCAAAGTATTTGGCAGATGCAGGCCACAAGCCTATATTACTAGAAGCCAGAGATGTTCTGGGAGGAAAGGTTGGCCGCAATAAAAAAGACCAACCTCAATGTCTTTTTTATTTTATTTCCCAGTTTACTGAGCTGCAATAGACCAGTAATGTCGTTACTTGTTGTATACCCCCTTCACTTCATCTTGGTAGTTCCTTCAACCTCATTTAGGCTTTTATGCTCTAGTGTTCCTTTCTAAGTTCATCAACCATAGATATAGATAAGCCTGACAATCATCGAATTGGGGGCTTCAGACTTCTGGATAACATGTACTGCATCTTCGTTCCCTAACTGCTAGTCTTAGACTGTATGCGTCCTTGGTGTGTGAAAATGATCATCGACAGACTAGAACCATGATCTTAAATTTTTCGTTTCCTCATGCTCAAATGATGTATGCCACTGACTTAGAACCTTCCTGTATCTTATTTGTATATTGTTCTTGGCTGAAAAGTTTACCTTCTCCTCTTAACAGGTGGCTGCCTGGAAAGATGATGATGGTGACTGGTACGAGACTGGCTTGCACATTTTCTGTAAGTTTGAGTATTAAAATACTTTTGGATCTCACGTATATTGCAATTTTATTACTTCTCGTCCTCCTACTGTCCCTCTTATTGCCTTATCTAACTCTTTCTTCTCTGATTTGAAAGTTGGGGCATACCCAAATATACAGAACCTATTTGGAGAACTTGGCATTAATGATAGATTGCAATGGAAAGAGCATTCCATGATATTCGCTATGCCAAACAAGCCAGGAGAATTTAGCAGATTTGACTTTCCTGAAGTTCTCCCTGCTCCATTAAATGGTAAGCACTTTTGTTTTCAACACTTGATTGAAGTGTGCGTGTAATATACCCTGGAAATTCATTTTTTTCTCTTCTATTTGAACTTTCAGATTGACCCTATGTTTTCTGTGGGTGGATGTAATGTACAGGGATATTAGCCATCCTAAAGAACAATGAAATGCTCACTTGGCCCGAGAAAATCAAGTTTGCCATTGGCCTCCTACCTGCAATGCTTGGTGGGCAGGCTTATGTTGAAGCTCAAGATGGTCTTAGTGTTCAGGATTGGATGATAAAGCAGGTACTATTAGAGCATCACTATTAAAGCAACATTGAATATACTATTGACGTGTAGCCTGCTAATATTGTACCTGCTGGAGTCTTCCATCATACAATTAGGAAAGTATTCTGTTTGAATTCAAGAAAATCCACATTGGAACCGTGAAAAATAATTTACGCCATAGAATAACATAAATATATGGCTGTCCAGTAGACATGTTGGCTTTTTTTTTTTATAATGCACTTTATTGGTTGTTGTAGTTTCTTAGTTGATCTAATGTATCTGGAACGGTGGAGAGTAAAAAGACTTTTACTTACATTGTGACAGGGGGTACCTGATCGAGTGACTACTGAGGTGTTCATTGCCATGTCCAAGGCGCTAAACTTTATTAATCCAGATGAACTCTCAATGCAGTGTATTCTGATTGCTTTGAACCGATTCCTTCAGGTATACTAGCTTTTCTTTCTACTCTTGTCCTGGGCAGATGCATGTCTTTTCATCACAAGATCCATATAAACTGTGTTGCAATCCCATGTAAATGCTAATTTATTACATTTCAGAGAATCATGGTACAAACTGTTGTTGTTTCTTGACCATCTATATTCTTGGATACATGGAATTGAATTATCCTTGAACGGGTACAAAATTTTATCAACAGGAGAAGCATGGGTCAAAGATGGCATTTTTAGATGGTAATCCTCCAGAAAGGCTATGCAAGCCCATTGCTGACCATATTGAGTCATTGGGTGGTGAAGTCCGCACTAACTCGCGGATAAAGAAAATTGAGCTCAACAATGATGGAACAGTGAAGAGCTTTTTGATGACCAATGGAAATGTGATTGAAGGAGATGCATATGTGTTTGCCACTCCAGGTATATGCTGAAATGAAACATGTAGCTATAGTCTGTGCCATTAGTATTTAGTTTAATGCTGGTTTTTCTAATTCCTTCCTTATCTTGATTAGTTGATATCCTGAAGCTTCTTCTACCTGATGATTGGAAGGAGATGCCATACTTCAAGAAACTAGAAAAATTAGTTGGAGTACCTGTCATCAACGTTCACATATGGTCAGTGGTACCTTCTCATCCTCTTATGCAATAGAATCAGGATGCTTGCTCTTCTCCTCCATAGCCCGTTTTACAATCCTTGCTACCTGCCACCTCATGTTGATATATTTTTACTCCAAGTTCGATGGCTTGGAGATTGAGGAAAGTTGAAGGACTTGATTAATTCAACTGTATATTCACTAATGGACATGGAATTACTTTTGCTAAATGACTGTTTACGCCTTTAAAATTATTTCCTTAATGATATGGCTCTTGGATGATCTTTTGTAAGAGTAAAATCCATTTTAGAACCAATGTTGCACTAATTGTTTTATTGTCGTAAGCACACTGTCCATCTGAAATTTGAGCATCTTCATCACAGGTTTGACAGGAAACTGAAGAACGTGTATGATCACCTACTCTTCAGCAGGTATGCTCCTGTTTTTCTGCCAAAATCCTAACCATACTCATAGTCATAGAGACTGGTGGACTCTTAGGATACTTTTACTTTCCCATGTTTAAAGATCTGTGTTATTTGTACAGTTTCAGTGAAAAACCAAAGATTCTAAAATCCCTACATTGTCTTTTTTGGTCTCTTTGACCTAAAAAAAGTCTGACTTTACTTGCAATAAGATTCTCCACAATCATATGCTATTGTCTTCCAAAAGTACTCGTTTTTCTTCGAAACAAAGTTGCTTATTTCCTTGAGTGATAACTTTTTTTTTTTGTTCGCCCTGGCTTTGGCAGGAGTCCTCTTCTGAGTGTATATGCTGACATGTCTGTTACCTGTAAGGTTAGTTTGAACCGAGACCTACTGAAGATACTCGTTGAGAAACAACATCTAAGTGGTGATATTTTTTTATATGCAGTTTGTACCATTGGAATATTGATGAGTTTTATTGTTTAACACAGGAATATTACGACCCCAATAAATCCATGCTAGAGTTGGTGTTTGCACCTGCCGAGGAATGGATAACACGCAGTGACTCGGAGATTATTGATGCTACAATGAATGAACTTGCAAAGCTCTTCCCAGATGAAATATCTGCAGACCAGAGCAAGGCCAAAATCTTGAAGTATCATGTAGTGAAAACTCCGAGGTTTGACCCTGTAGACTGACCGTGTCAAATGTTTATCATTAGCATTTGTTCTGACATGCATGCAAATACCCTTTTGTTCCTTCAATTTGACATATCCCCGGACTTTGTTGCAGGTCTGTCTACAAGACCGTACCAGATTGTGAACCTGCTCGCCCATTGCAAAGATCTCCGATCGAGGGGTTCTATTTGTCCGGTGACTACACAAAACAGAAATATTTGGCATCCATGGAAGGTGCTGTGCTATCCGGGAAGCTTTGTGCACAGGCCATTGTCCAGGCAAGTACTTCTCATCCAATGGGTTCAGTAAGTTTAAGTTGTGATTCATGCGTCGATCTAGCTAATAGCTATCAAGGGTTTCCATGAACAATGATCAAAAGGAGCAACATTCCGGCTGAAATCTTCTTCCCTGTGGCATACGGAAATATTCGTGGTAACTAGCTCTTACGCATCTTTCGTGTGGCATATGCAGGACTACGAGTTACTTGCTACTACGGAACAGAAGGCACTGACTGAGGCTACTGTGAGTTTATGATTAAATGATGAATGAAGCCTCGCAGCAGTTGCGGAAGGTAGGAAGTGATTCAATAACAAGAAGCAGTAAAATGTATCTATGGTTAAGTCTTAAGACACGTTTGTTGTGGTTAGGAAGTGAATCAGAGTCTGTTTGTATCAGCAAGCAAGGCTCAGAGCCAAGTAGACCATTCTTTCTCAACCAAAATGTATACAAACAAACACTGCTGTGTAAGACCTCAGTGAATGAAAACGTCTGTGATGATTGAAGAGAAAAGTATGTGCCTTTCTTCTCTTTTGACACATTGCAGAGCTTTTTTCTGCTTTGTGTCTTAACCAGGGTGGCTGCCTATTGTGGACCTGAAATCGTGGGGGAAGCACGAGTTTGCTCTCTGCATGTACCATGCATCTCCGACACTTACGTTGGGATACAGATCTCTCATTCACCCACTACATTAAAAAGAATGTTTTCCCCTTTTTTTCTTTTTCGATTTGATACATCTTCTTCTTCCTGGATTGCTTCCTTCCTGATCCCAAGCCGACGCACGTGCAAACTGGAATTTGTACGTATCTGAATCTAATGCTGCAACAGATTTCCATGCAATTGATCCATCCTTCTGTCTCAGTCCCTCTCTCTAATCAAATCTTTAATGCATCCCCCAACTTCCAATCCCCATTGGCCAAGTGGCGTCAAGTTACAAGGATTACTTTCTACTCAACCCCATTGACCTTTTGTTGATTGTCCTCTGCAGTACTAAGCAAGACCCACAAAGGAGCACACTATATTATTACTCAAACCCACTTGATTGTTTGAAAGGATAGCCATTAGTATGTGTTTACTATCTTCAATCGTTTTGATAGAAAATCAGGGGGATTGTGATGGGTGTTAGACATTCATGTGTCGTCGTATCCACTCATCGTATTTCTAGTATTTAAAGTGCATAACAAATTAATAATCGTTTGAGAAGAAATTATCCGGCAACAAAATATCGATTTCGCTTGGTTGTTTGAGCATATAGAAGTCTCTTAGTCGTCTGATCAAGAATCGGACAGTTATGATATGCATCAATGATCAATATGTAATCATATTCACTCACTTTATATCTTGCGTTCCATGTGATACGTGATCATTCCAATTCCAAATCAGACGACTGGAAAAAAAAAATGAACGCTCTGCCTACGAGTTGCGTTTCGATAAAGAAAATAAATTCTACCTGATTTAGCTTCATTTATACACATAAGACAAAAATTACTTGGTAAGAAGGCGACCATGTTCATTCCCTCACTTGACAAACAAGTCAAATCCTGGATCTTTCCTGGAAAATTCACTCCATTCCATCCACCTCTTTTTCATACAAAGAATATTTAATCTTTCCTAAGAATCACAACTTCCCAGGTTTAGCTTATGTTCACTCCCTCCCACCCTATTTCCCCCCATGCACTCCATATCCATAAATACCACCATTCCATCCACCCTCCATCTCCAAACAGCACCAACCCTTCTTCTTGTTCATCTTGCCTTTTTTTCACCCTCCTTTGGGGTTTGGTTTGTTCTTCTCTTCCTGCCATCCATTCTTTACGCTGCTGTTTAGTCACTTCAACACTACAAAGCACAAAAATGGCTGAGATCACGGTTTACACCAGGAATGCTGCCTCTGCTAATGGCCTCTCTGCTGCACCAAGCAAGAAGGGCCGCAAGATCACCAGGAAATGTGCATCCTTGATCAAGGAGCAACGAGCAAAGATGTACGTCCTCCGCCGCTGCGCCACCATGCTCCTCTGCTGGTATATTCAGGGAGAAGACTAAACTAATCCATCCCTTCACCCTCAATCAGCAATAACCCCAACCTGCAGCATTGTTTTTGTTCCTTTCCTTCCTTCTCAAGTTTTCTTCTTCTATGCTTTTTCACCCTCTTCTTTTGTGGGTCTCATGTTGTGGTCATCCTCAACAGCTCAGAACACACAGACTAGCAGTGCTGTGCCTTCTCGACGCCACTTTCTGATCGGTGGAGGAGTCCCAATGGCTTTCATAATTTTTACCTCTTTGGCTTTCAATTCAGCCAATAGGTTTTTTTTGCCATTTGTGGGCTTCCTTTGCTGTTGAGGGAGAGAGGTGTAAGCCTCAGTACCCGGCTGGCCTGGAGCATGATGCACAGTTGTTGTTGATGATGATCAAGATGTGTTTTTCTGCAATCTCAGATGATGAATTTGGCTGGAGAACAGCCGCCGCTCTATTCCTCCTTTGATCTACAAAGGAGTTGTAAAACTTCCTACCACTGTCCCTGTCCAAAGCAGCCATCAATACCAATGAGCTCTACTAATACCTCAACTGCTTTGCTAAAATAAAGATGGCGACAGAATAAGATTAAGCAAAAGTGCATGTTTATGTTTGTATGTAATTCCTGCAGAACAATGTAAAGGTCGAAGCTTTTATATGAGTGCAGAATGTATTGTGCTGTATTACTGAGGTTTCCATTACAATAAATGAAGAATCGAGTCTGTTCTTTCTTAACTCTCATTCCATGTTCTACATTCAGTTCCCGTGTTTGCATGATCAAATGCTACAACAGATGGTACATTTTACAGACCTCTTTTCCTAGCCTAGTTACATGATGATCAAATGTAGCTGGACAACAACTACATTCCAAGTACAGTTGCTTACTTTCCCATTTTACCAATGGAGGCCATAGCTCGAAGCCTGCATCAAGGGGTGAGCAAAATATGCACCTAATGTCACCGCCGTGATGGTCAGATAAGGCAGCCTCAAGAACTCCTTGTAGTAATCTTTCGGTAGCTTCTGGCGACCATCCAGTATGGCTGCGAATGGAACTACACTCGTCCTCTCTTTCACAGCTTCGAATGCTTCCCCATGCCTCGCGGCTAGCCTCCTGTCCCCATTCCAGACACCAAACAGATGATGTGCGATCAGACCAACGGATGCAGCAAGTGCCACTGAGTTCCCTATCCACACCGTGTGAGCTACGCACCACATCACTTGCCCGACCATCTTCCACACCGGAGAAACCAAAACACCCAAATTAGTAAAGCTTTTCAATAGCATTCTCCTCATTTTGAAACTAGGGGTTTAAGACAGATGAGCAAACATTATCCATACATACGAACCTGGGGATGCCTTGTGATTCTCATGATTCCACTCTCCCAGAGATGCATCTTTGGCTTGTCCACAGCTGCAACCTCCAACAGATTGAAGGTTGAAGGGTAGAGGAAGAAGAAGGAAATGAAGTTGGATAGCCACAGGACTTCGTGTAACCCGGAGACAGATTGCAGCTGCCACAGCTGAGTCCCATCGTACCTGTGATTGATGAAGTAAACCTGAAAGAACACAACATTAGTAGTAGTAGAGGCAGAATCATAACAAGTGGACCAACTTCTCATTCTCCAATGAAAGTCTGCTACTTGCATCTCAGAAGAAGCTACGTACCACTGTGCTAACAGCTAGAGGAAGAGACAATCCTGCAAACAGAACACGAAATGCTCGTTCTCCTACCACCTTCTCCCCTGCCTCTCTCAGGCTAGCCAACCCACTGTGTACAGTTGCGAAAACCAGGATGAGCATAAGCATTACAACCTGCAACAAATGCAACATTAGCAGCTTCAATTGGCCATTTACTCAACCTAACAGTGTTGCGGGAACTAGGAAACAATCAAACAAACCCTTGTTCCTGATACTCAACAATCAAGCAAAAGGAAAAAAACCCTGAATTCCCATTACTGGAATCGTATTGCTGCAATTGAATTTACCTCGTGGCTGTCGAATACGGCGGAGAGAGAGTCGACGAAGGCCTTGCCGTAGCCGGTGGAATTGTCGATCCAGAGGAGGTTGAGGAGGAACAAGACGACGCCGAGGATGACGGAGAAGTAGAGCCAGGATGAGAGCTTTTGATTCTCCAATTGGAAGAGAGCAGAGTCCTCGCCGACGGGCGGCGGTTCATCGGCGGGAGAGTCGACATCGCGGATGGAGGTCCGAGGAGGAGACGAACTCCGGAGTAAAAGATTGGTAGAGGAACGAAGACCAGGGCGGAGGAAGACAGAGCGTGGAAGCGGAGTTGCTACGGTGAGGGGTCTGGGGAATCCGGCGGCAGAGACGGCGGTTGGGCGGCGGCGGAGGGCGGAGAGAGGATTGCAGAAGAGAACGGAGGACGCAGCCATATTTTTGGGTGGATGGCGGGAGTGACGCGATACTCACTGCTTGTAGCGGTAGTTGGGGGTTTCAATGAATCGACATTTTTGGAAAGGAGAGAGAGATTGGAGAATCTTTCTCCGGCAGAAGTAATGGCGACAAAGAATGGAGTTGGGGTGAGTACAAGAATCTGGAAGGAAAGGATCAATTCATGATGATGATGATAGACTTCCCGTTCTTGGTTGCCGCCCGGCTAACTCTCTGGCGTTTGCTCTTTTTTGTTTTGTTCCGTTCGGCGCCCTCCCACCAATCGTCGTTCACCAAGCCTCGCCTATACGGTTCATTATCCAAAATAGTCATCGAACTTTGGAACGTTGATATACTTGGTCACATAGGTTTTATATTGCTTCTCAAAATAGTTATGTATCTTTGATATCATAACAAAATGGTCACTTCTGTTCGGTTCATGTCCGGTAAAATTATAGACCGAGAAAAATATGGTGTAGGTTCGGTTGAGAATATGTTACCTTTTTGTGGTGCTCTTATGATAACTTTGGGATCTAGTAATTGAATTGCCTATGATTTTTTACTTTGTGGTGCTTTTATGCTACTTGGTGGATGGTGCTCTAGTAGTCGGAGTCCTATGGTACTAGTTTGTTGGATGGTTTATGATGGGGGCGAGCTTGGTAGTCTGTCTGACCACGAGATATAGGATGGACGTCAAATGATTCATTCGTCGTGAAAACTTTCGACACTTTGCGATTAAGTGTTTGCAGCGGTCTCATGACACATAGCTTTGTTTGGCTGACTCTATAGGGAACGACACGACTTGTGTTGGACAAGGTCAGACCAGACAAATACAAGAAGTAGAAACGACGGTACTTTCTTTCAAACGGCGGGCGGATCCAACCATATCCTCGTTCTATTACGTCCGAGTGAATTTTGTGTGTTGAATTGGAAACAAAATAGCACATTTTCGTAGCACCAAAACCCCCCTTCCTTCATCCTTGAGCTCTACTACTTCAATGAAGTTTGATTTGTTGTGTGTTCATCGATTTGCCTTGTGCTCTTCCACCTGGATATTTTGGTATGTCTTTCTGTTTCTCCACAACCATAAATGCAATGACACAAGAAATCAAATGAACGGTTTTGCGGCCGTTCTCTGTATTCTGTCCTGTTCTGGAGAAATTTGTCGTCTACATTAGATCATACGAGAAGCTGAGCTGGAGCCTGTAGGTATGGGGACGCAGGCAAGTGTACAGCATGCATTACTCTGCCGCACATCCTTCGCCAGTACGATTACGCGGCGATATGCCGTTGCTGCAATTTTCCCCCTCCATCCCATACGCCCCATATGGCCACATCCAGCCAAAAAAACCACAACCTTGATTTGCGTTCCTCTGTTCAGTACATCGCATCTCACCATTAATCCACCATCAATTCCTCCCCTGCTCAGCTGCTCTCTCCCTCTCTCTTTATCTGCCTATATAAATGGGAGGAACACCGCAAATTGATAAGCAATTCACCGATCAAACCCACAAAATGATGCGTGTTGATGAAAACAGAGCAAGGGTAACAGTGGTGGTGCTGGTGGTGTTGGCGGCGGTGGTGGCCGGAGTGGACGGCCGGCGGCACAGGGGGATTTTGGTCGGGGCGAGGAGCGAGGTCAAAGACGTGAGGACCAACAGAGAAATTCAGGAGCTGGGTCGATTCTCCGTAGCAGAGTTCAACTTCCAGCAGCGGCAGAAGCAGAGGATTGTGAAGCAGAGTGGTGGTAGTGAAGAGGAACAGAGGCTGCTGATGTTCGACGAGGTGGTGGAGGCAGAGAGGCAGGTGGTTTCGGGGATTAAATACTACCTCAAGATCCAGACTACTCACTCTGATTCGAATAGGGTGCAGGTTTACGATGCTGTTGTGGTGGTCAAGCCATGGCTGGACCATAGACAGCTCGTCCACTTCACTCCTTCTCCGAGCTACTCTGCCAATTAGCTTGATGGGGAGTTGGAAGTGAAGAGAAGAGAAGATAAGATAACACCAGTTTTGTCTCGGCTGCTATGGCTTGCTAATAATCAAGAAGAAAAAAAAAAAAAGAGATCTTTGGTTTCCTTTATCTGTTTTTACTCTTTCCCCTTTTCTTGGTGACTGATCTGGAGGCCTGCTCTGTTTTTCCTCTGCCTCTCTGTATGTAAACCCGTGTAACTCTGAACAATAAAGTACGCCAGCCTCCGTTGCTCAATAATGAGATTTCACCTCTTTTGGGTTTTGCCCAATTATCAACCCTTTTGTTTCTAGATCTCCAACGCTGAAACAAGTTCAATTTTGTTAAAAGGAAACCCATGAATCTCCTGCTCTACAGCTTAGAAAGTTGCTGCTTTCCATGGCGTTTGTTTGAGTACGAGTGAACAGAGTCTTTAGACTCTGGAATCACAATTCACAACCAAGCAAATTCTTTCGGTTGGAAACACAATCAAACTTTGAGAAAGTTGGGGGAACTGTTTGGGTACTATTCTGTTCCAAGGATGGATGAGAGAGGAAGAAACGACAACAATGGCGGAATCCAAAGGCCAAATACACCTGGAAGTAGGGCTGGGCATGCGGGCGGATCATCCGCGGGTTTGGGCCGACCCACCCGCATTTGACCTGCATTTCGTTAAGTGGGTGGGTTTATGGGTGGGTGACGGGTTGCGCTGGGAGCCATCCGCCGGGTGGTGGGTGGGTGCGCGGGTGACCCGCTCAACCCAACAACAAAAGGATCAAAGTCGTCGGCGGTAGAGAGGGGAGAGTGGAGACGTTAGACATAAACTAGGACTGCTCCTGGAGTTTGAACCTCAAAGCCAACCTTCCAAATAGCGATCCCCTCTTCTTCCCTTTATTTTCCCCTCTACTTCTTGTGCCTAGATCACTGCTCTTTCCTTTGTGGAATTGTTTTTCTTAGTTCCTTGCACCTGATAATCATCTCAATATGTAGAAAACTCTTTCATAATAGAATTTCTATCCATTTTAAGAACTAATTCGTCATTTTTCGCCCTATATTCATCTTCTTGTTTCCCCAGATAACTCTCTTCGCCTATTATCATGTCAAGTTGACTCCTTTATATTATATACATTGTGATGTGGGTGAACCCACAAACCCACCCAAATCATCCACCATCCGCCCGACCCAACCCGAGACTAAATGTGGGTGGGTGGTGGGTTAAAAATTATCAATCCGTTTAAGCGCGGGTGGGTGCATTTTATGGTCAAAATCCACCCGACCCACCCAATGCCCCCCTACCTGGAAGAACTGAAAGCTGAGCTGGATTCATAAGGCCCGGTCTGTACAGTTAGAAAGCCCCAATGAAGTGGAGAGCAATGGGCCAAACACACTTGTGAGTTTTGGCCCATAAAAGACGTAGTAATCCAATCGGGCTGGCTAATTCCACAATCTATAGCCCACGGGCTTTTGACTTTATTACAAAAATTAGAGTATTGAGTGGTAAAATCCAATTCATGACGTCTTCTCCAAATATCAAACAGCTTTAAGATGACGTCATCTGCAACGACAACAATTTTGACTTGAGGACCTCTCATCCAAGCCAGCCACCAAGTAAAAAAGGTCTGCCCTGATTTCTGTACCCTACATAAATGGTAAAAAAACGTCCACTGCACAAAATATATAAGTCAAAAATAAAAAAGGGTGAAATAAAAACGAACGTATTATGTAAATATTGATATATGGATGACCATTGCTATTACCACATTAGATGCTCACTTGGGAGTTACATGTAACCCATATTCCTACATTTGATAGCTCCTTTATATTTCATTATCTCTCATTATTATAAGGATGTAGTGGTTACAAAAGTGTGCCTATAAATAGAGCACATCACTTGTATCAAAAGAGAGAATGAATAAAAAGAACTCTTCCCCTCTCTTCTCTTGTGTCTTTCCCTCTCTAATTTTCTCTTGTAGTTGTTTATATTTTCATTAGTTTCATAACACGTTATCAGCACGAAGCTCTGCCAAAATTATCATTGCTCAAGCCTCAAAGACTCTCGACATAATCTAAGATATTGGAGTAAGATCACAATATGATCAAGGTATGTAAATCTTAGATCCTTTCTTATCGTATTGTCTTATTTGTGTTGAGATTATCCCATTCTAATATATCAAGACGGGTGCTACTTCTCATATCCATTGATATTTTATCACGTCGATCTATATGGATTAACAAGAAAAGTAATATAAGTGATGAGTTAATTTCTCAGCTCTCTGAGTTATCCTATTCTTATCCATCATACATTGATATGTGAAAAATGCAAGTTCCAAGAGCCCATATATTTCCCAGAAGTGGAAATTGAAGAATCCAAGGGCAAAGAAAGAAGTGGACATGGTAACCAGAATATTGGTTTTGTATGTTACCATTGTAATGGAAAAGTGCATTTGTCTCGTACCCGTTGTACGCAAAAGACTTTATTCTACCAAGAATCAAAGGGAAGAGCAAATTCAAATATGCTGATGCAATATCAATATTATGGAACATATTTTTTGTATTATAAGTTGGTATATTCTCCATTAAAGATGAAAATGATATTGCACTTGAGACATTTTCATTCCTAGAAGGGAATGAAATAATCTATTCCCCAAAGTGAATGAAACTATAAACATAATTACATATATGATAAATGTATTGTATGGATATTTTCACCAGAAGTGAGAAAAGAGGAGAAAAAGGAGAATTATAAATAAGGATGACACCATAATTGCATTATCAAAGTCATGATAACATAATGTACCTATTGTACATTATAATGTATAATGAAACGCATATATAAATTTAAAATCACCTAGTTAGTGATAGTATTGTTCCAAATAATTCTTATTTAATTTTCACAATTGTAGTATTATGATTCTTATTTATTTTATGTTTTATTGTGACGTTATTTTTCATGCATAATTTAATTTGATAACCTTTATCTAGAACAATTAACTTGATAAATTCATCATTTTTGTCTTAAGTTTGAAATATTCTCATTTATTACTTTTATTATGTTTCTATAAAGTATGAGTATTAGAAAAATTCCATATAAACTATATGGTAGAGTACTTAAATAAGAAAAAGCTTCCGAAGAGCTTATGTTTGGTTACTTAAAGTAACTAAATTATGTACTCGTGATAACAATTTGTGATGATATTCACTATGAATTTGTGTTTACTAAGAATGCATCAAATCATAAGTCCCTGGAAGGGTGGAATATGGTACAAAATATGATAAAGCTTTAAAGGGAGCTAATTTTGTGGCATGAAAGAACCAAACTACCTAGTGATGATGCATTCCCAATTAAAAGGATATTCGTAAAATGAATATCTTATCAAGAAAATAGTGAAACTAATATTTGCATCACAAATATGTACTACATGTATATTAGTACAATCAGTACACATAAAAGTGTAAACCAGAAGTTTACAAGATTTGATAACTTGATAATTGGATGGACCGGTTAGACCATCCCGGATCTTGATGTGAAAAAAAGTTCTTTGAGAATTCATGAGAACATCATATGAGAAGTCAAAGAACTCTTCAAATAAAAGAGTTATTATGTCATGTTTGTTCTCAAGGAGAATAGAACAATTGATCATCGCTTGTATAAGAGTTGACAAATCTCTTGAGATTTTATGGACGTGTATGCAGAACAATACATCAGTCATGTGGATCATTTGTGAATTTTATGGGTTGCTGCATCAAATGTATTTTATCTAATCGCAACCCGATGTTTGCGAGATTGATTGTCTCACTATGGATACATTTTGATGGTTATCCAATCAAACATCACTTTGCTTAAGAGAACAAACTGAGCCTTCTGGTCTCTTGTCGAGGACATGCTAGCTGACAAGTGATAGTATTGGTTCACATCTAACCAACAAGTTATCATAAGTTCCCCCCTTTTACAAATGGTTTTAGACAGAAACCTAACATTTGTCATATGAAAATATAAGGGTGCGCCGCATACATCCCAATTGCTCCACCACGGTATTTTAAGTTGATTCTCGTTGGAAATTGTGAATTTGTGTTGGGTATGAATTCCGAATGGGAAATTTGTTTGCAAAATTATTGTTTTGATGGATTACTTTTCCAACATTAAAGGGGAGAGAAAAAAAAAGCTAGACAAAAAGATGAGTTGGAATGAGTTATCATTATATCTAGTTTTGATCCTCAAATTAAGAAACATGAACCTGAAGTTCATAAGATGAATTAGCATTACCAACTATCAAATGCCTTTACTGGCCATACGAAGTGACCAAGTCACATATACTAGCTGTGAATGCTCCAACTAAATTTGATATCCTTGTTGGATACTCTAATATAAAAAATGTGTCTAAAGAACGCATGAAGCGTGATAGACCAATCGGTTCCAATGATAAGCATCCTCGAGAAAGAAAAGGAGCTGTAATTAGAATGGTCAACTCGAGGACATGAAAACTCAAGAAGAGTAACCAAGAATAAAATATAATTTTAGTTCCAGAAGAACACATGTCTCTGAAAGTTGTGAAAGCGAAGAGATCTCAAAACCATATTAGACTACAATACTGGAACCGTAATGAAATAATTGTCGATGAAATGTGTTTGTTGTACTTCAGTACTGAATATGATATGTGCAATGTGAGGATCAAGAGTAAAACTCTATTGATGCATGCAAATGATGATGTTATTGGCCAATATAGAAAGAAATCATGAAACTTGCTTAAGGAGCATAAAGTTTAAGGACCAGAAGTCCTTGCACCTAAAAAAGGGCAAAACTAGCGGGATACAAACAAATTTTTATGCTATTGGAAAGTATGAAATTGTGAGAGATATCACATAATATTTTGCAATGGGTTTCTTGAAGAGACCTATCATTGTTTAAGAGGAGTTATACTCCCCTGTGGTGGATGCAACTGCTTTTTCAAATCAATGTTTGAAAATTGTTGTGATAGCCTATTTGTTTGAATTCCCTGAAGATGTTATATATATTTGAAACTCCCAGAAGGATGAGTTACTCCTAGAAAGATTAATTTACCTGAAGTAAACAAGTAAAGTTCTCGAGAACATATATCGATAGACTAAGAAAATCCCTTGTGTGGGTTGAGAAAATATAGACGAATGTGAAATACTCGTCTAAGTGAACACCTACAACAGTAGGGTGAATGGACCTTAAAAGGTTAAATCCGGATAGAGTCATTAGAGCATTTGCATTGTGCATATATAGTTGTGTTGTCTGTATGTGCTTCAAGGATTTTAAATTCTTGATTTATGAGTTGTGATTTACTTTAAAGTATGAGTTGTGTTTTATGAGTGTGCTTTGTCTAGTTCATATGTTTCTATGATGTGTGTTTTGTAATATCTTTCGTGGTATGAAAGAATTGCTTGCTTAAATTTGTATTAGTCAAGGTTTTTTGTGACGATCTCATATTATGTTGATGATATGTCTATTATTGGAGCTCCTGAAGAGCTTCCTAAAGCAGTTGATTGCTTAGAGACATAAGTTAAATTGAAGGATTTAAGATCCTTTTTATGGGCAAGGAAGGTAATGTTGAAAAAGTGGAAAAGTAATTTTGCGTGAACAAATTATGTTCATCAAATAACATTAGGATCCTAAGATCACTAGAAGTGACCAAAGATCCATTTAGGCATCGAGAAAGAAGTGAAACATTAGGTCATGACGTACTTTATGTTGATGTACTAGGTCCTGAAGTACCATATATTGATGCATCAGAGCACCAATGCATCTTGCTAGCCAAGCACCATGTAAACTATCATTTTGGTGTTGATAATATTAGTAAAATACAATGTTTTTCTCAATGGAACGTTGGAAATACTTTGTTACCTTCAGGAACAATATATGCAATTGTTCTATTATGGTACTATCAAAGAGAGATTTGGTGAACTATATATCCAAATCCTATATATTATTTGATCCTCATATTGGTTGATCAGAGATGAGCTATCTCTTACATATGGTGATGTGATTGTTTCATAGATATCCAAAACAAACTATAGTAGGCAAGTCCTGAATGTATTTCGTTACACTTTGTGATTCACCATATCTAAAGGACTTGTAGTTGTAAAGGAAATGATCCTGACGATCATGGATAAAGAAAATCTAAAGATCATGCATAAGATTGACAATCTAGAAGATTGTTCACTAACTAACTCCCGGCAACAATCTTTCTAAAAGTTGTTTGTGAAATTTGAGTTCAACGACTCAAAGATTTTAAATGATGTGGTCATGAGGGGGAGCATATACGCACTGCACTCTTTTTCCCTTCACCATGGTTTGTTTTTCCCACTGGGTTTTCCTGGTAAGGTTTTTAACGAGGCAGTATGAGATAGCGTAATGCAATCTAGTGGTCATCCAAGGGGGAGTATTATGTAAATATTGATATATGGATGACCATTGCTATTACCACATTAGATGCTCACTTGGGAGTTACATGTAACCCATATTCCTACATTTGATAGCTCCTTTATATTTCATTATCTCTCATTATTATAAGGATGTAGTGGTTACAAAAGTGTGCCTATAAATAGAGCACATCACTTGTATCAAAAGAGAGAATGAATAAAAAGAACTCTTCCCCTCTCTTCTCTTGTGTCTTTCCCTCTCTAATTTTCTCTTGTAGTTGTTTATATTTTCATTAGTTTCATAACAGAACGACAGTAATTAAATTTCTAGAGTAAAAATATGAAATGGAAAAAAAAAAAACCCCAAACAGTTAGGAAAAAGAGAAAAAAGGAATTATCATATATAGAAAGTTAGAGACTACCCTTCTCTTAATTCATCAAAAATAAAAAGCCTCTCTTCCCCTGTCTTCTTCGTCCCTGCAAATCTTCTTTTTTTCACTTTCCTGCGGTGACCCCTAACCTTTCATCCTTCCTTTCCCATTCCACCACAGGGGGTCGCCCATCTTCCCATTCTCCGCCTGTTCCTTTCCATTTCAATTCCAGTTCAATTTCAATCCCAATTCCAATTCCCCCCAGTTTCAATTTCAATTCAACTACTATCCAAAAACAAAAAAAAAAGATAACAGCTCCGTGAAATTGTGTAAAAAAAAAGAGACGGAAAGGGATTCAATTAGGGCTCCGATTTCCATCAATTGATCCGTCCGATCGGGGATTTTATTCCGCCGCGAAGTTCAACCATGTCGGAGATGGCGAACACAGATCCCGAGGGGATCGACGGAGTTCGGATGTCGTGGAACTCGTGGCCGCGGACCAAGGTGGAAGCTAGCAAATGCGTGATTCCTTTGGCGGCTTGTATCTCGCCGATCCGTCACCACCCGGATATTCAAACCCTACCTTACGCTCCTCTGCGATGCAAGACGTGCGCTTCCCCGCTCAACTGCTTCGCCCGGGTCGATTTTACCGCCAAGATCTGGATCTGCCCGTTCTGCTTCCAGCGCAACCATTTCCCTCCGCATTACGGGATGATCTCCGAGACCAATCTGCCCGCCGAGCTGTACCCTCAGTTCACCACCGTGCAGTACACCCTGCCCAACCCTAGCATCAATCCGCAGATGGGTGTTGATCCTAACGTCCCCACTGCGCTTTCCCCGTCACCGGTTTTCGTCTTTGTGCTGGATACCTGCATGATCGAGGAGGAATTCGACTATGTTAGATCCGCTATGAAGCGGGCTATCGGGTTGTTGCCGGAGAATGCGCTTGTTGGGTTTGTCTCATTCGGGACGCAAGCTCATGTTCATGAGCTCGGGTTCTCGGATATGTCCAAGGTTTTTGTCTTCAGGGGAACCAAGGAGATTACCAAGGATCAGGTTATGGAGCAGCTGGGCTTAACTGTTCCTGGCCGTAGAGGCCCTGGTGCTTCTGCTGCTGCTGCCTACCAGCACAAAGGGATGATGCCTAATGGCTTCCCAGGTTCTGGTGTCACAAGGTTCTTGTTGCCTGCATCCGATTGTGAATTTACACTCAACTCGGTGCGTGGCTTCTTAGTTCTTCCCCCCTTTTGCTTATTCTAGTGTCAACTTGTGATCCTTTGCTGAAAGGTGGGAATTTTCTGTTTGGATTAGCTTCTTGATGAGTTGCAAACAGACCAATGGCCCGTCCAACCAGGAACCCGGGCTTCAAGGTGTACTGGCGTGGCTTTAAGTGTTGCAGCAGGACTTCTTGGAGCTTGTTTGCCTGGCACTGGTGCCAGAATCATAGCTTTGGTTGGAGGTCCATGCACCGAAGGTCCTGGCACGGTAATCATCCAAATTGAATATGATTGAATACCCTTTTATAGTCTTCACATTTACTCAATTTAAGTCCATTGATTTGCTGCCGAATGTTATTGCTCGACCCATTTTACTTTAGCTATTAATAGAAAATTGGAACTGAAAGTGAAAGAATTGAAGCTCCTTTATGTGTGTAGCTTATGTTTATATCACCGTTAATTTAGGATGGTAGAAAGCTTCTAAAGCTATCTACTTTTATTTGACCACTGATTTTGACTGTTCTAGTGGATTTTGGCTCTGAACGTGCTAGTTCATTTTTGTCTCGAGAGAACCTTTCTGGACTCTTAGATGTCAATCGAATTGCTCTTTGTAATGATCTTTACACTGGCTAATGTCACTTTTAAGGGAGATGTGAGTCAGCGGTATGCTGTCCTAACTATGAGATCCATATAAGTTGCTTTCAAATGTATTATGCCTTCTGTTGTGTTTAGCTTTAACTAGCATTTATGAGATTGTGTCTATCCACCCTGGATAGATCTATGAGACATCAGTTCAAGCAGAACATCAAATCTATAATCTTTTCTGCATCATTCATTGTAGCTACTTCTAGCATTCTCTGACAATAATAACAATAAATGTTAAATCTTTGCAGATTATATCAAAGGATTTGTCAGATCCTGTACGTTCTCATAAGGACCTTGACAAGGATGCAGCTCCATACTTCAAGAAAGCAGTCAAGTTTTATGATGGTCTGGCAAAACAGCTTGTCAGCCAGGGCCATGTGTTGGATGTCTTTGCCTCAGCACTTGATCAGGTGAATATTTCTGAGCCTTTGACTTTTGTCGCGTTTTTGTTAATGAATCAGTTTGAAGCATCGAGTGGCCCACCAATATACTGAAAATCTCCAGTTTAGGTGGTGGAATTTGCCAATTCGGAATGGAATACCATGTAGAGTAGAATTAGATGGTGTGCATTCAAGTCGGACACCCTAACATCCATCTCCTTACTGTATTCCGCAAAATTTCTGATATAAATTTAGCTGCCAACCATATACGTGAATATGATATGGTAGAATAAGTGAGCACATGGCTGCTTGGCTTTCTTCAAGTCTAAAGTGGCTCTTGTACTAAGTTGTCGCTCTGGCTGGTCATATCTCTACTGGCTTTCGTGGATCTATCTGTATGCTTCAGTACTGCAATGACCTTTTAGTTAAATTTATGTTTATTCTGGATCCACTTTGCTACCAAAGTTCCCGATTGTTGTGTAAGTGGCTTCGCATGTTACTAAGTAGAGATATTTATCCTTGAGGCAGAATCATGATTCTACAGAGTTGTTTGTCTTGAGATGCTCCAATCCCTAATCAGCCAGACAATGTTAATTGAATGAAAATGTCTAGAAAGAGTTAGGTTTCGAAGTAAGCCAGGTTTGTACACGTTATACACCTTGAAATATTTTTGAATGGTTCTGATCTTTGTTTATTTCTTAAATAGCAAAATGGAAAATTAGATATTTGGAAGTGTTGATCTGGAGAAGCCTTTTGCTTTGCTATGTTGGAGATTGAGTTTGTTGGCTGTATGTCTTAGGTTGGGGTTGCCGAAATGAAAGTTGCAGTCGAGAGAACTGGGGGACTTGCAGTTCTGGCAGAGAGTTTTGGGCACTCTGTTTTCAAGGACTCCTTCAAGCGTGTATTCGAAGATGGGGAACATTCTCTTGGCCTCTGTTTCAAGTGAGTTATTTATAGGAATTGGCTTTCTTTATGTATCTGCTTGATAATTTGAAGAAATACCCATCTTTTGACTACATTTTTTCTCTAGCTTAATAAAGACTCACCCTGGAGAACCTTTTCTAGGCGTAGTAGGGTTATGTTGCTATTATAAGCTATGAGACTGATTTGATATGCTCATTTGTGATATGTTAAACTTTAGGGTATTAAGCACAAGTCGCCTAAGAAAAAATTGACATGAAGTTGAACAGTTTTATTGTGAGGGCTAATTTCTATGTCTGAAAGAATGGATTTTTTTTAATATGACTGTGCAGCGGGACACTTGAGGTTAACTGTTCGAAGGACATCAAAATTCAGGGAATAATTGGACCTTGCACATCGATGGAAAAGGTTGGGACATCAACTTAAAATCTACTGTTTAACCTTTTGTCTTTCCGTTATGTTTTTTTGAAAAATAGTTTATGCTCCCCCTTCCCTGTTCTCGTTATGTGTTTTCTTACTCGTATTAATCCTCTGGAATCATGGGTCTGGTTGCTGTCATCCTTGCAGAAAGGGCCGAATGTTGCTGATACTGTCATAGGGGAGGGCAACACTTCAGCCTGGAAGATGTGTGGGCTTGATAAGAGTACTTGCTTGACTGTGTTTTTTGATCTTTCATCAAGTGATAGATCAAATACTCCAGGCACTGTAAATCCACAGTTATACCTGCAGTTTCTCACTAGGTACACATGGAGAACTTCTGTTTCTCCATTGTCCTTTTGTTCGTATAGCACATTTGCACTTTTGTTGGTAACTCCATGACGGACTTCTAATGGTAGTTCTTTTGCTTTGTTTCTCTAATTGTAGCTATCAGACACCTGAAGGTCAAACCCTGCTTCGGGTTACAACTGTAACTAGGCGATGGGTAGATAGTACTGTTAGTTCAGAGGTTAGTTATGCTTCATTCTGATAATATTTCATATAAAAATATGACTTAATTACATTTTACAGTTTTCCTAGTTTGTGAGAATTGATTTTTGTTTTCTTATCTTTCCATATTCTCCCGTTCTTGAACTTTAATCCTTCACCATTTTGTTTGTGACTCTCGTAGTAAGCAACATCATAAAAAAATGTTTAGCAGATTAAAGGTCTTTAAACTTATGTGCTTGTTTCATCACTTGCAAATCTGCATGGGTGATAAAAGGCTGCTTGCATTTCGGCTTTGGTAAGTCCCAGATTGGGATGTTTCTAATGTGATCCGAATTGAAATGCTCACCTCTATACACCCATGTTCAGCCAGACCTCTGTATCTTGATCTGTTATTACTTGATGCCTTGATGGGTATCTTCTCATTTTGAATTTGAAGTACGTGCCTCTTCTCCAGAGTGGATTTTTTCCATACGAAATGTTGGATTCTGGTGGTTATTTTTACGTGCTTTTGCATTAGATCTGTAATTCAAGTGAGATGCATTTGGCTGTACCAGATGAAGGGTCTGCTCGACTTTTGAATCGTCGTGCCGTGTTAAATTTCCAAGTGGCTTTGTGAAAAATCATGTTTGCTTTGTCTAAATTGGCTGGATAGTGTGTTGGGGTCCCATTTGGCTGTTCCTGACAGGGATCCGGGTTGGTGCAAGATATGTATGTCTGGCCAAATGGTTGACTTTGCCTTGTCGTGGTCGTTTAATTTTCATCTCATTTTGCATCATGTGAAATCTCAGTTCTGGCTTTCAATTATCTGCAGGAATTAGTACAAGGGTTTGATCAAGAGACAGCAGCTGTTGTAATGGGAAGACTGGCATCCTTAAAAATGGAGATAGAGGTACTTTGAAGTGGCTGATTTTTAGCTACTGTGCTCTCCACTGTCTATTTATCCTTTGATTATGCGGAGTCACTGGTCTATTTTCCCTGACTTATACTCTTTTGGTTCAATTGAACAGGAAGGATTTGATGCAACCCGTTGGCTGGACCGAAATCTGATTCGTTTGTGTTCTAAATTTGGAGACTATCGGAAGGATGATCCGTCATCCTTTACATTGAACCCCTGCTTTTCATTGTTCCCCCAATTCATGTTCAATCTCCGACGGTCCCAATTTGTACAGGTGACTTTCATGAGCAAATGCTTTGCAACCTGTGCAGTAAATATTTTCCATTTGTATTTATTTTAGTTTTGTTGATTGAGCAGGTTTTCAATAACAGTCCAGATGAGACTGCTTATTTCCGCATGTTGTTAAACAAAGAAAACATTACCAATGCCGCTGTCATGCTTCAGCCGTCGTTGATATCTTATTCCTTCAATTCATTACCTCAACCGGCACTCCTAGATGTTGCGTCTATTGGCGCTGACCGAATTCTCTTGCTCGATTCTTACTTCAGTGTTGTCATTTTCCATGGTATGACTATAGCACAGTGGCGTAACATGGGTTACCAGAATCAGGCCGAACACCAGGTATTGTTTGACTTATGCTTTATCCTTTCTCAACAGTGCAAGAGCCATCCTTTATACAACTTCGCTAGCTATTATTAATCAGCCTTTTTATGTATTTATGCAAGACGAGTATATGGTCCTGTATAGTTGGTTGAAAATAAGCTGCCATTTGGTCATTTGTTCTTCACTTAATAGATACAAATGAGCTTATCAACCTAATGTACCTCAGAAGACATGTGTCCTTAGCTGCTCACTCATTCGGGCTAGAGATCTTGAAATAGTTGTAGGTTCTTTTAGATCAGTTCTTGGCTGAAAAGCCCACTACAATCTGTTGGTTAGTTGGTTTATTCTTTTTCTTCTGCAGGCGTTTGCACAGCTTTTGCAAGCTCCTCAAGATGATGCTCAGATGATAATCCGGGAGCGTTTCCCAGTCCCTAGGCTTGTGGTGTGTGATCAGCATGGATCCCAGGTTTGTTTCTTTGTTCAAATTTCTAATGTTATTGCTGGAACTTGAACAGTGACCGGAAGTTGAACTTTGTGGTTTTGGGTTGTGAATGTGATGATGAAATGAACAGGCAAGGTTCTTGTTGGCGAAATTGAACCCATCAGCGACGTACAACAATGCACATGAGATGGCAGCTGGTTCAGATGTTATATTCACAGATGATGTCAGCCTTCAAGTCTTCTTCGAGCATCTACAGAGGCTAGCCGTGCAGTCTTGATCTTGTTAAGGGAGGGGTATCTAGTGGCTGAGGAAGTCTCAGCTCGCTGTGACCCGCCACTGTTGCTCTGTCCCTGCTGTCGGTCGTGGTTGCCCTTGTTTCTGTTTGTCTGTCTTTTCCTCTCCCATGTGTTCGAGTTTTTCGAGAAGAGAGATGGTAGCCCCACTTAGAGATCATGTGCAAAAAATAACCGAGTAGGTCCATAACATTCGGTAGGAGAGGGAGGGAACAAGATTGACTTGCAGAGCGAGGGGGACAAAGAGAATGATGTTTAAAAGAGTTAGACAGGGAAGGGTTTTGTGTTACCATTGTGGAAGGAGGAGCTGTGTCAAGAAGGGAGATTTGTGAGGTTTGGAAGAGGAAACCTAGCTAGCTACCCTTGTGATTTCCCCAGTGTTGTCGGGAGAGACCCCGGGGGCTTCCGTATGCACGAGGCAAAGAACACAGACAATTGAAGGACTCTTTTTTGGTTTCTGTTTGTGTTGGTCTCTCTATAGCAGTCTGGTCAGGGGTCAAGTGTTTTATTTGTGTATTAAATTAAGGGTTTTTCTCCTCTGGAAGTTTTCCTTCTTTTTTTACCCTTGGATAGATGAAAGAGAATTGAAATTGATGATGATGGTCTAAAGATAATCTTCTGAGGTACCTGAGGAAGAGCTGAGTTTGGGGGGTAATACTTGGAATCTTTTTTTGTTTTGTTTTGTCTACTTGATAGACCATATGAATATACATGCTTTTGCTTCTCTTTATCTTTGCCCTTTTGTTTCCCTTATTATCTTCTCAACTCCAGCTCGGGATAGAGTGGAATTAACATTCACAGGTCGCGATTTAGTTCGTTTTGCTGAATCGAAAACTGGTGTTGGTGTACAGGCGTTTGATTTTCATCTGCCATTGGCAATATATGCAGCAGCCAATGTCATCCATTCTTGATGTGAAAATGCCATGTGCTGGTTTTATACCATAAATTTCGACATCTGCTCTAGTCGCAGTCCAGTAATCTTAGCACTTGGGGACAGCATTCCAAAGTGGACCAAGCGCAAAGAAATGCCATGAACTGGATTTTGCCATAACTTGCCTTCATTATGTAGATGTACCCCAGAAAGGTAAAAGAAAGAAAGGATTTACAGTCCAGAATTGGAGCCAACACAAATGTTTTTGCCATAACTTGCCTTCATTATGTAGATGTACCCCAAAAAATGTACTAAAACACCCACCGAGTTCTTTGGAGCTAACACAAATGCGCATGGTTGTCACGTTCGGGGAATATCAGTCGGTTGAACTTTGCATAATGGTGTTGATCATGAAATCGGTTGGATAACAATGACTGACATAATCAATTTTCATCCTTTAAACAAAATGATATTGTTTTAACAAATGTAATCAGCAAAAAAAAAAAAATTTATAATTTATTTCATAAATTTGAAAATCAAATGTTGATATTATTTGTTGGATTTAAGTATAAACATTTGGGTGTTTTACGCTAAAAGTCTAAAACCCGGTTTCACAAGCTTGCAAATGCGCGTGGCTGCCCATTACGAGCGTATTTTATGCGCACATCGAAATACTTATCGGCCCCAAATTTGAAAAAGTTCCCACTCCTCCCGCCATGTACTACACAGAACTCGATCCTCAATTCCAATCGCCGTCGCCGGCGGCCACCACCGCCGGGGACTCGTGCTCCCGGGGACACCGATCAAGCCTATGCATCGCCACAATAGAAGGAGGCTCCATCTGCCTCGTCTGCGTCTCCAATCTCATCACCAACCCGCGCTCTCTCTCCCACCACGTCGCCTACGCGCTCACTCAGCTCTCCGCCGCTCTCTCGCAGCCGCAATTCCTCGAAACTCTGCTCACTTTCCACCCTCACTACCTCGTCTCCCCGCTCATCCACGCTCTGTCGCTCTTCCCCGACCCCGCCATCGCCGGCCAACTCTTCCACCTCATCTCCGCCCTCTCCGCCGCCCGCCAGCTTCCTCTCGCTCCGCACTTCCTCGCCGGCCTGGCCGATCGCATCTCCTCCTCGGCCTTCTCCTGGACTCCCGCGCACCTCCACATCGTAAGTTCCCTTCTCCGTAATTTTTTTTTTATCTCGCATGGCCGGAAGGAATCAATCGATCGATTAGGTCAGATAGTCATTCAGTTGATGAGATTTCTTAGTTCAATTGTTGTGAATCGTTCGCTTGCAGCTTCACTGCTTTGGAATTCTCTTGAGCTCTGCTCATGCTGACGATCCATATGCTCACGTTAAGGACAGTGTTGCTCTCCTGTCTAATCTTGTCACTGCTCTTCAGCTCCCCAGGTGAATTGGCATTGATCCTGCTGCTTGATTTCCTGCTGCATATCGTCCATCTGCTTGTTCGTTTTTTTCCAGCTCTTTCGCCACCGGAATGTTGAGTTAGTTCATTTCGGCGTCTGTTTAATTTGTCCTCGGTTTTGGTGGTTTCAGTGAGGAAATTCAGGCAGAGGTCTTTTTTGTCCTTTATAGACTATCCCTTCATGGTGGTGACGATGAGGTTGGCATTCTGTTATCCTTTTGCCCAAAGCTCTTGCGTCTCTCGCTCGAGGCCCTTCTCAAAACGCAAAACGATGCTGTTCGCCTCAACTCGATAGGTTTCCTGAAACTCCATCTCTCTTTCTGCATTCCACCATTTGAGTCTTGTTGCCCACTTTCGGCTCCCCAGTTCAAAGTCCATTGCAGTATCTTGTTGGCGTGAGCATTGTCACTACTAATTTAGCTGGTGTTCTGCTTGTTATAACTGTGAGTCTATTGATTACGGGATTCTTGCCCACGTTCTGCACAACTAGTGTCATAAAACCCGTGTGGACTCACTTGGTCTCCTGGATTGATCTCATTTTTTGCACTTTGTCAAAAAAAATTCTGTTGATATATGCTCAACTCTTTTTTTTATGCAGCGCTCTTGAAGGTTCTTGCTCGAAGAGGGTGCTTTGAGAATACATACCAAAATGACATATGCAGCACGGGATCTGATGAAGCAGATAGCTTAATGCAAACCATAGATGATAGATTAGATCCCTCTCCTTTAAGTGTTTTATTTGCTGAGGCCATCAAAGGCTCGTTGCTTTCATCAGACAGACAGATCCAAACCAGTGCACTCGATCTCATCATTCACTATCTTACTAGGGAAGGCACTCCGTGCAAAGAGGCAGAGATATTGTTAGAAGAGAACATTGTAGACTATGTCTTTGAAATACTGAGACTGTCAGGCAAGTGGCTCTGCTCTGGGTTCTTATGAAGTTTGTTATCAGCTGACCAAATCGTTTTGCTGACCAGTATGAGGTGGTGGACTGATGAATTTGCTCCTATTACTCTTGACAGAATGTACAGATCCAGTCATCAACTCTTGCCTTTTAGTCCTTGATCTTCTCTCTGCAGCTAAAAAGGGCTTCATAGAAAGGCTTGTTGTCGGACTCTCAACTCTGGTTCCAGTGTTGTGCTACATAGCTGAAGTCCCTTTCCATCCGGTCCAGTATCAAGCTCTGAAACTCATTGGCAGCGGTCTATCCAATTGTCCTGGAATAGTATCGTCTTCCCATGTTGAGGAAGTATTTCTAGCTCTGACAAAGATGTTAAAGAGACATGCTGATGGGGAGTTGGGCATGCCAGTGGAGGCATTCACAATGGTTTGCTCGATGTTTGTAACACTCCTGAAATCCTTGCCTCTCCAGGATAATCCTGATCTGGCGGAGAGAGTTCAAGAAGCAACAAATCATGCTATTCTAGCTTGTCTAAATGCAAGTGATAAAGATCCTAGACAGCTCTTGCATGCCTTTCATCTGGTTAAAGAGGCATATAACCGGGGATCCTCTGGCATTACCAGCATAATAAACTGCATCATTAACATTTGTACAGCACATCTATTGCCTTGGATTATTGCTGCCTTTGATGAAGTCGATGAGGAAGTGTTGCTTGGGCTGCTCGAAACATTTCAACATATACTGGTTCAGGATTCTGATAATCAAGCAAGTCGTCTGGCAAATGCCATGGTTACCTCCTCTTGGTTCAGTTGGTCATTTGGATGTATGGGATTATTTCCTACTGAAAGTATGAAAGTTGAAGTCTATTTACTGTTCAGTTCACTTGTGGATGTTCTTGGAACTGGCATTGGGCTGCACATTCGGGAGGCTGCTGCAGATCTGCCAACCGATCCAATTGATTTACTGTTTCTACTTGGGCAGAAGAGCTCTCAAGATACATTATTATCTTGTTGCCAGTCTGCAGTTCTGTTGATTTTTCACACCAGTTCTCTGTACGATGATAGGTGTGTTCTCTTTCTGTTGAATTATCTAAATTTCTCGTTGCATCACTGACTAATGTTTTCCATCTTATGTTTAATTCAGGGTTGCAGATGAGAAGTCAATACTAGCTTCACTTGAACAGTATGTTCTTGTCAATCGTAGCAAGCTCTTCTGCAGTGGTTCTGATACATGGAAAGCCATGCAACTGATAAATCTTTATGGTTTATGTCGGGGTTCGGCAAATGAGCAGGACCCAATTTCCTATAGCTTAGAGGTTGAGAACATTGTGCTTCAACTAGTCGCACAAGATGAATGGGATTTGCTCTCTTCACGACTTCATTTTGTGTCGTTAAAATGGTGGTTTCGACAAGAGAAGATCCACAAGCTACTGGGTTATCAAATCCTGAAGTTCTGCAGAACCAATCCCTCAGATGAAATTTGTATGCCTGGTCCCGAGGACATCAATCAGAGTTTGAATTTGAGAGTAATTGCAGAGTTGGCCACATCAGGAGACAACCATGTTGCAAGAATTCTGATTTGCTTATTAGTACTGCTAGTTGAGGAAGAGCACCAGGAAGAGGACATTATACTGGTTTTAAACCTCATGAAATCAATCATCAGAACGTCTCCAGCTTCAGTAGATGAATTTTGTTTGAATGGCATGGGAAATGTTCTCCGAACTCTTTATTACAGCCCATATTCTTCGTCTTCACCACAACTATTCATGGCTTGCCAAAGTTTAGTATCTATTGTCCTTCGCTGTGTGAACCCAGAAGCACTTTGTGATGATCAAGCTTGGCTTGCAGTGACAGTAAAGGTATTACTCTCAACATGCCCTTTTTGTTATCATTTTTGTAAGTTGATGGACTAAATTGGGTATTGTTATATTTCATGTAGATGGTAGACTGTATAACTTCCCCCAGAATGGCTTCGAAAACCTTGTCTGATGAAGGGATGCAAGTAGTCACCAGTTTTTGCTTTATATTGCACCATTCCACAAAGAAAGCTCTGTTAGATGCTTCCAAGACCATACTTTTCAATGCTTCTCTGGTGTCTATGGTTGATGACATGGTGCGTGCAGCCTGTTCGAAAGGACCTGCTTTAGTCGATTATGACGAAGGAACTAGCAGTGGAGAAAATCTTACAGTCATGCTTTTGCTTAGCTATTTCTCTTTGAAAAGGTAATCCTCTTCTGCTTTATGCACAGATATAAAATGTTACAATCTGAAAATGTGTACTCAATTTGATTCTTTTTCGTTCAGTATACATTCTCTTCTTCCAGACTCTGCTGACTGGCAAACTCTACTAAAACCATCAAACGACACTGGATCACCTACCATAGGCATCAACTGTACTGACTTGTGCCGGCTGATGCATTTTGGGTCTCCTGTAATCAAGCTTGTCTCTTCATATTGCCTGCTCGAATTATTTACTAGAGTAACAGAACAGAGAAAAAAGAATCACGAAGAAGTAAAGTGTGCAAAGGGTTATCTAATGTCGATAGCAGCTATACTAGAAGGCTTAATGTTTTACAGCAACATAAGAGTGTCAATGAACTGTGGCCTCTGCTTGTCCATGCTTCTGAGCTGGGAGAGACTGGATTTGGAGGAAGAATATTGGTGCAAGCTGATTGTCGAAGAGATGGCAACTTCCTTGGCTGTTCCGTGCTTAGCATCGAAATCATTCGTCAACCACCACAAGCCTGCTGTCCATGTGGCTGCTACATTGCTGAAGATTCAGAAATCTCCTGCTTGGGTGCGCAGCGTGCTTGACGAGGCCTGCATTGATGGCATATTAAAGAACACTACAGGGAATAACAAGACGAAGGAGATACTGCTCTTGTTTCGAGAGCTGATGAACTCCAAGTTTCTGAAGAAAGATCAAATGGCTTCTCTGAATAGGTTGCTTCAGGAGTGCCGGAAGCTTGCATATGCAGAAGAATCTCGAGACGAATCAAAAGGTGACAACATTGACAGGAACAAGAAGAGAGAGAGAGGAGCAGACGATCTGGGAGAAGCATGCGAGTACCTCATTCACTTGATGATGTCTGCAGATTTGGATCCACAGAGGCGAAGTAGAAGACTTTTGGACGAAGTAGAAATGTTCTCAAAGATGATTCCCATGGAAGCGAGATGACTAAGAAGAAATTCCCTTTGCTGTTAACTTGAGGCTCAATGCAGGGTTTAGTTTTTTCTCTTGTTCCTTTTTCTTCATCTCAAAGTAGGATTATGGAACTAATCATTGAAGCAACACTACATTATACACAACAGCACATGTATAAAACAGGAAACATCGATTAACTCGATGATTATACTGTACATTACGGTATATGTATAACACAGCATTTTGGTTCTCAGTTTCGTCAGTTACCTTCCAGTCCTAGCCCCTAAGCTGCTTCTGGCATCGATCTGGATACCAAATCAATAAGGAGAGAGTAAGTCCACTTCTTCTGTTCCCTTTCTACAGGGTCAAGCGACAAGTACATGTCTTCGCAGTTCTTAAGGAATCTCCCCTTCCCAAATGCCACGACCACAAGAGGGTCAGTCCCCATTTCCACTCCTCTATCAAGCAAACCCATTTTCCTCCATTTCTCTATAATCCTCACGGTCCCACCAAAACCCATCTCTCCCGCAGTAAACACGATTCCTACTGTCACGATATCAGGCTTCACGCCATGGTCCTCAATCATCACGAACAGCAAGCTTCTCAAACGAGTGAAATCCTTCATCTTCAAGTACATAAACAACAATGTGTTCACAACCGTCACATTCCAGGACACACTCAATTCTTCCATCAGGCCAAGAGTGGCATCCACGCCTTTCCGACTCGATACACAAGCATGAGATAGGAGATTCAACAGCCAGACAATATCATTCCTATCGGACAGTGAGGCGAGGTAACCCCCCAACTCATCTAATCTAGAAAACATGCGGTTCTCGATATAAACAACAGCTAGCTTCCTGACCAGTCCTTCCTTCAGAAACATTCTCGATCTGCGAGCCTTGCTCAAAACATTGTCTGCCTTCTCCACAATGCCGAAGTTCACATAAGCCTCGAGCATCGCCATTAACGCACGAGGCTGCAAATCCATCCTCTTCGATCGCATGATTTGGTTAGTGGTCTCCATTCTAGTAAGCAAACCAGCTCTAGCATACTCTGTAATCAGTAAATTGTAAGTAATGGCGGTTGGTGGGCATCCCTCTACCGCCATCCTCTTCACACATGTACCGATCTCATCGTACATTCCCTGGATTCCATAAGCCGTGATCAATCTGTCGAATGTTTGGCTGTTTGGCAACAAATTCATTATCTGTTTCATTTCATCAAGGTAAGTCAAGGCATGGTCAAACCTTCCAACTTTGGCCAGACCGTGGATTATGGAGTTGTAGACATGGACGGAAGGATTAAACCCTAATCCCTTCATCTCTACAAACCCAGATATAGCGTCTTCGGTTTGCCCCTCTTCGCTCAGAATCCCTATTATCTGCTCATAATTGGATTCGCTGATTCGTGATTCATCCAGAGCCTTCCATGCCTCGAATACCTATCATCAAAAGGTTCAGACTTTCTATAGTAAAACCATCGGAGTAAAGCGTATTCAGAATTGTGATATAAGCGCACCTGAAGAATGAGGTGGGACTGGGAAGAGAGTTGAAGGAATTTTACGACGGCCCAGAAATGCGGCGCCGGCCAATCGCCGTGGTGAGTGAGAATCTCAATTGGGGAAGCGCCGTCGCTTTCCAGGGTGTGGACCAAATCTCTGAGGCGGTGGTGGTGGTCGTCGGAGCTGGAATCGACGAGAATTGTAGGGACGGCATCTGCTGTAACAACATAGGAAGTTGCAGAGGATTGGCGGCGGCGTGGGACGAGGATGGGAAGGGAGGAAGTGAAGCAAATGGGTAGCAGGTTGACGGCGGAGGAGAGAAAGAATGGTCGCCGCCATGTCGTCGGAGATGGTATTGTGACACTGAAAATGTGTTGGGTAGCCATTTCAGCTCGGTGTCCGCAGAACTTGCAATTGTTATACATTTGGTTAATTACACGAATGGCTACTTATATTTGCGGTTGGTAACAGAATGGTCACTAACTAGTAACTACACAAAAAGATCATTCTATCTGTCTCAGTGAGAGTTAAAACTTAAAAGGGAGTTAAAGGCTGCGACCAAAGTCAACCAATCATTGGTGTGAAGATGATGGAAGTAGGAGAGCAGATGAAGTCCCACATCGCTATGATAGTGTTCCAACTGGGTTATGCAGGGAATCATGTCATCCTCAGAGCTGCACTCAACTTGGGAATAAGCAAGCTGGTCTTCCCAATTTACAGGAATCTCATTGCTCTCTTTCTCCTTGTTCCCTTCGCTTATTTCGTCGAGAAGTAGGTATTTATATATTTACATAGTTCATCTCTTGTACATTCTCAGAGCTTAAATCACTGTACGGATGTCACAGTTTGCTACAGTTTAACCCATTTGGTTATGATTCAGGAAGGACAGACCAGCGCTGACTGCTTCTCTGTTGATCCAGTTTTTCCTCCTGGGATCTGTTGGGTAAGGATTAAAGGAATGATCTTTGTTTGACTTGATCTACAGACTGCAAATACATCGATGATGATCTAGTTTCTGTGTTGTTGGTGTGGCAGAATAGCATCGAACCAGCTGTTTTATCTACTGGGTCTGGACAATACTTCACCTACATTAGCGTCTGCTACAGAGAATGCCGTCCCTTCTGTGACCTTCATCCTAGCTACTTTACTCAGGCAAGTACAAATTCTAGCAAGAAAACAACACTTATCCTGAAGCTATCTGCAGATTTTTGAAATTAAGAAAGAACGCTGCAGACTGGAGCGAGTTGAGCTGAACAGGAGAGATGGGATAGCTAAAGTTGTTGGCACTTTGATTTCCTTCATTGGAGCATCAGTCATAACATTGTACAAAGGCCCAACCATTTACAACCTCTTGGTCTCCTCCGCTTCTGTTCCCCAGAACTGGACGCTTGGATGCATCTACAACCTGGGACACTGCCTGTGCTGGTCCGCTTGGATTGTGTTGCAAGCAATGGTCTTGAAGAAGTACCCTGCTCCATTCTCAGTGTACTCATTCACCTGCTTCTTTGGCATTCTTCAGTTCCTGGGTGTTGCTTCCTTTTTCGAGAGAGATAACCCGCAGGCCTGGCAAGTTCACTCCACCGGCGAACTGCTTAGTGTTTTATACTCGGTCTGCAGATTAAACCCCTCCGTAGTTTTCTCAAAATATGTTACAAATTTGAAGCAGAATGATTGAACCTTTGCTGGGTTAGAACTTCATATGTTTATATGGTGTGTGGATGCAGGGTCTGGTGGTTTCAGGAATTGGGTTTGGGATACAGATATGGGTGATTCAGAGAGGCGGGCCGGTGTTTGTTTCAGGGTATCTCCCTTTACAGACCATGCTTGTAGCTGTGATGGCATCCATGTTTTTAAGCGAAGAGTTCCACTTAGGAGGGTTAGTTTTCAGAAAACTTTACTCCTTCCTTGAATTCTGAATGCTTCCAAATAACTCTTTTGTGTGGGTGTTTTTGCAGGGTGATTGGAGCAGTCTTGATTATATCCGGACTCTATATGGTTCTCTGGGGGAAAAGTGAAGAGACAAAAGTGGCAGCAGCAGCAGCAGCAGCGTCTGTTGAAGAGAACTACAAGCAGCCATTAATACTTGCTGGAACCAGTGATAACTAGTGGATCAAAGTGTATAGAAGGATGAAAAGATTTTTGAGAGTTGGATGTAACATTGTTATCTTCTTTTTCCCATGTAGGCCAACCCAATAGGCAAGCGCAATGTAATGTGCAGGAATGATTTCTCATGAATGTTAAGAAATTTTGATTTGATCATTCATATCAAACGATTTTGATTTTGCTTACTAGTACCTGTCTTTTCATGGAACTCTTAATTTAATTGAGGGACCTCGTCCGCGATTGCAGCGTGCTCTTCGTCGAATTGAGAAATGCCAAAGTTTGGTTCAGTACTTGAACTCACAACCACTGCTGGCTCTGTGTTAGCCATTCCTTCAGTCTTCAGATAAATCAACAGCAGCATTATCGCCAGTGAAAATCAAACCATCTACCACATGAACTTCAGCATTAGTTCGATCATTTCCTTTTTGAAAAGTGACGTTCTAATCATCAGTACCGTTCTTCGCCACCTCTCCCGAACCATTCATCTGAATTCCAGATATCATGGGATTTAAGTCACGTATGTCTAGCAAACTCATCCCCAGGTTATTTCTCAGTATAGCAATAGGTACATATTCATCAGATGCGTGGATCGGGCAGGAACTGGGGAACCTATAATGGGAAAGCCTGAAGAGGAATGAACAGGCCGACTGGAGTTTTTCGGTTGTGCCTTGTCGAACTTTACAGCGAACAGTTTTCGTAATCTCTGAATTGGTTAAAAGAGATAACTGAGAAAGGTTGTCCAAATCTTTTTCCTCAGTGTTTCTGTTAGCAAGTGATGTATCAGTCAGTGTTTTTCTTCTTCAAAGATTGTAGGGTTGGGGTTCTTCATCTCTATTGGATGGAAAATCCATGTAAAGCCTGTGCTTTCTGAATCTCAGAAATCACATTTCATCTGAAACAACTATTCAGCTCTTCATCACTTGTAAATTTCATAAAAAAGATGTTATACCCACAAATTGCCGGATTATCAAACACATCTAACATCCATCTATTATCCTTTTACTACCAAAAATCAACTCTACCACAAAAGCCTACTAACAAACTCAAATACAACTGCTAGGGACCTCAGTATGATCTAGCTCTATTGACAAGAGCTGTCGGAGTTGGTATGAGAGAGAATCACAGGCCCCGTCTATACTCTAGTTGCTTGGTGTTTTCGAGCAATACCTGTACAAAAAAGAAACTCAGAAGGATCAATAATAACTCAACTGATGAAGAAAAAAGAGAATTTTGTAACAAAGAGATAGCTCCAGTTAATTGACAGCTAACTATTACCTCCCGTATATAAGTTGCGATGGCTTTGCAGCCTTCAATTGCAAGCTGCATAACATTTTCCACGATATCAACTGGCAACTTGGCATCCATCTACAGTTACCAACAGAGAAACAATTGAAGGAATTGAGTAGTGAAGAAATAAGCACCACTCAGACATGCACATTGTTTTAGTTAACCATTAATGAAAACCAATGTCCCGATCTTAACCTGAAGAAGAGTCACTCTGTCTAGCTTTGGTAGAAACCCAACGGTGACATCAGGACCCCCAGCACTATCTTCCAGATAATTCAGATCTGCAGCAAATGCAGTATGATTAGTATGAGCTCTGACTACAGTCGATGGTTAAAAGCGAGCCAAAAAGAGAACATGCAAAGCGTACTGAAGGAAGGCAGAAGCATACCAAGCAAAGGAGTACTGTTGAGGTAACCAGAACTACAGGAAGTCACAAGGTCACGCATAGGGATCCCAGCATCGGCTAAGGCCAATGTTGCAGCATTTATACATGCAGATCTAGTTCCTGCAAGAGGATGCAGCCATGTCATGATAAGAACCTATTTTACCAGGAAAGGTCTATGTATGTACTAGTAAAACAAAAAACCATGTGGACAGACAGTCTCCTTCAATTATGTCCATGATTAGTTCATCAAGCAACTCCAGAAAGGACAAAAGACTCACCTCCATCAGCTTGGAGGACTTGCACATAGATGTCTATCTGTCTCATTCACAAATAACACTACCATTTAGGAAACGTAACAAGTGCTATCCATTCTGATAAAAACAAGAATTAATCAGTTAGGATATAACCTGAGAGCGTGGCATTAGGTGAGTCAATATGCAAGCTTCCATTGTCTGACGGATTACTAAAGATATCTCTGTTGATCGCCTGAGGAAGATAAGCAAAATATTGGTGTGAAAAGCGTTAAAACGATCCCCATTCTAGGATTTGGAATATATATGAAGCATGCCTAAAATATAAGCAATTCAGAGAACCAGAAAAATTATGAAAATAAGAAATCCTCATCATTGCAAACAATTTTGCCGACATCATTGCAAATGCTGATATCTATCTAATCCAGGTACTAAAAAACTCAGCAATAAGAACAACCAATGGACACAAGAAAGCAGAAAGAGAAAGGTTGCATGATCTATAACATATTCAAACCATCTGGAAGCATAGTGATTACCTATCGCCCTTTGGTTTACGCTTGCGGTCACCGGTACTGAAATTGGCCATGGTGTACTCACACCTCACCTGCGATTTACATCTAGCAAAAGGTAAGCATGGGTTTGATCTCAGAGAAAGGCACCTCAGCATAAATATGACAAAATCAACAATACCAATGCCTGGTCGTTACTCTGCTGGCTCTTATTCTGGACCTGAACAGTTAAACACGGCCAGACTCAGATAAGCAGTAAAGGCTGTAACTTTCAGTAGTAATACCAAAAGTTTCAACCTTGGAGCTCAAAGAATGATAATGCATACCTCTCTAGGACCATAGACAGCAGCAATTACTTTGGTGTTGCCCATTTCGAAAACAGCAGAACTGCAATTTCCGGATTCCAACTTGTTTCAGACTAAAATCGACAAAAAACAAAAATTTCATTCAGGGTTTTGATGGGTACCCGTCAGCTCTGGCAACCGCACCAATCTCTGCTCGAAGCTGCCTCATCTGGGGAACAGACAGGGAGGTTTAAATTAAACTTAGATGGAATGGAAATTCAGGGGAACCTCAAACAACCCAAAATGCGGATGAATCAAGTGATATAGGGCATACTTCCATCGGACGGCGACCGTCGAGACGGAGTCCTTCAGGGTTCACGAACTCCATAGCAGACTAATTTATCGGATGAGAAGAAATACTTAGGGGCCGGAAATAGTCAACCGATAACGAGGGTATCGTCGTCGACAAGGCGGGACACGGTCGAATTGATGACGAAACTGCTCGCCGCAACCACACCGCTGACGGTAACCGAACGGTTTTTCTCACCGTAGAAGGTGAGCAACCACAAGTGGAGGTGGCAGGTGGACGGTGGAGCTGGACTGGAGTCGTTCGTCTTCTTCTTCTTTTCAAGTTCCGGCGTTCGTCTTCGATTTCCCCTCCGGCACCGTGTAGGAATGGGAAGAATGCGGGAACTGGGAAGTTAACTGCCGCGCAGAACTCTGACTGAAGGGTTGGGATTTGGTTGGCGGGCCCAAATAATGTATTTAGCGGGCTGGGTCGCATGATGATGGGCTGGGCTGGAAAGAGAAGGTGGGCTGGTATTGGATACTTAGTAGAATGCCTGCTAACAGATTAGCATATGAGTTATGACAAATTGTTTCCAAATGGATCAGCAATGAAACATGTGGAAATGATCAACATGATAGCAAATGCTCTACTCATGCTTCAAAGTGTTTGGTGTTTACCTTCACTAGTTCACTTCCCACTATACTACACATCTCTAAGCACACACACAAAGGTAGAACAAGTACCAAATTCACACTATATATAAAAACTGTATCAGCAACATGATCATGGATTCTCAGTTGACAGATGCACAGCAGACCAAATGTGCCCAGTAAGGCCTTCCCTTCTCTTTCCTCTTCTCCCTCTTTATCTCTGCAGGATACCTTGCCGGAGAGTTCCACTCTTTTCTCCCTGCCGCCTCCTTCGCCTGAGTTGTAGGACTCCTGACGCCACTATCTCTGCCTTTGTCAGACCCTGCAGCATTTTCCTTCGCGTGGGTTGGCGAGGATCTCGATTTCGTTTCCTGATTCGCCTCGCCTAGCAGGCTTTTCAAGGGAGTGTGCTGCTTCCCGGTATTGCTCCAATTGGTCACCTTTGCAATGATCTCTTCGTTCTTTTTCCTTCCCTGTGACTCGTTTACCACGTTAGTAATGGAGGGGAACCACCCAGCTTGAGCTTTTGACTGTTGCTGATTTTGTGCTGAATGGATTTCTGAAGAACCACCAGCAGCTTTTTGATCACCTGCAGTTCTTGGTTCGACAAGTGTCATGAAAGATGGGGCTTCAAACATATCCGACTTGTCGGAGTCTTGAGGAGCATTTGTCTTGGCTGTGCTCACTGGCATATCCGATTGGGTGGAGAGTACTGCATTTACAGAGAAAAACAATTGGAAAACTGAGTCAGTGCATGACAATTTAAACCAAACTACACATCTCTTCAGAGAACAAAGTAATGAACACAAGAAGAAGCAATACTTAAAACAAATTTGGGTTGGATTCTAATCAGCAGAAATAAGCGGGTGTTCATGAGTGCACCATACCTGAAACAGAACCCCAGTGGCCTTCCAGACTATCAGTTTGGCTATTTGAATCGACAGAAATATCTGCCGCAGATGTACCAAGCTGTTTAGTAACAGAGTCACCTCCTTTACCGAATGGCTCAGGTTTGTCTTGAGATGCCTCTCCGACCAAGTTTGTGGTGTGGTCATCTCTAGCTACTGTAGCTTTTAGTGAATCAGAATTTGAAGAAGTTATGCAATCATTTGTCACAGGGTCTTGTGCAGACTTTGGCAGAAAAGCATCTTCACTTTTATCCAATTCAGGTGTCCCACCAACTCCAGGAGTAGACTCGGTCTCAGGTTTCTCTAAGCTGGCCTCAGTGTTAGACACTTCAACCATATTTAAGCATGCAGATTCTTCTTTCAATTGTCTGTCTTTTGCATTCACTGATTTTTCTGCCATAGTACTGGATTCATGAACATCAGTAGATTCGAGCATCACTTTGGATACAACTGAAGAGTTTTCCATTGCTGAACCTGAAACTGATCCTGCTACAGGTGAAACATCTCTCTCAATTATTTCCCCTTGACAATCAATAGCATTCACACCTTCAAACGATATACTCTCTATGCTTTTGGTTTCTTGTATACCTTGCTTAGAGACACCTATTTGTGCTTGCTCGATGTCAGATTCAAGAGTTTCCTTGATCTTCATTGAAACATTATGGTCCACCAAGCTTGATGGAGCTGAATTCTCGGCCCCAGTCACATCAGGTGTATCAAGCTGGCCATGAAGTCTTTCATCCTCAAATATGATATTATCAGGCTCTGAAGCTGCTTGGTTGTCATTCTGGTCCACCAAGCTTGATGGAGCTGAATTCTCGGGCCCACTAACATCAGGTGTATCAAGCTGACCATGAAGCCTTTCATTCTCAAATATGATATTATCAGGCTCTGAAGCTGCTTGGTTGTCATTTTGGTCCACCAAGCTTGATTGAGCTGAACTTTTTGCCCCAGTCACATCAGGGACATCAAGCTGACCATGTAGTCTTGCATTCTCAAAGACGATATTATCAGGCTCTGAATCTGCTTTGTCGTCTTCTTTGTGAAGCTCCATGATGGCAATTTCGCTGTTGTCACCTAAATCAGATGCTTCATTATTTGGCACTCTATAATTACCAGACTGAGTATCAGCAGCAGGTCTTTTAAGCTGTTCAGCTTCTCTATTTGCCGATGGAACCTGCTGATTCGCATCCGATAATACCTCTGCAGTTGAACCTAGATAACCTTCACCTTTCAGTTCAGGGCTATATCCAAGAGCCTGAACTTCTGATGCAGTTGAAAGAGTTTCCCCCACCAATTGCTTAGTTGGACTACTGGAAAAATCATAATCCACAGAAGAACCAGAGTCCTTGATGTCATTTGTTATTCCATCTGAGCCTAAATTGACAGTTTGAAGAGATTTACTCCCTTCACCTTTGAAGCCCTTAATCATGGCCTCAGCATTGCCAGCATATTTTATATCACCGTGGACTGAAAGAATATGTGCATTCTCATAGTCCATACAGTTCAAACCCTCTACTGACTCACTGGAACTTGCTGAGGCAGGTCCTACAGGAACATCCACCTTAGCCTCTACAATACCAACAGAAGCATCAGTCTGATCAGTAGATTTCACGTCATCCAAGGAACTTCTAGTTTCTATCTTTTCACAAAATTCTTCTTTGAATTGAGGGACCTCGTCTGAGTTTGCAGCGTGCGCTCCATCCAATTGAGAGGTGTCAAAGTTTGGTTCAGTACTTGAATTCACAGCCACTGCCTTCTCTGTGCCAGGCATTCCTTCAAATAAATCCAGAGCAGTAGCATCACCAGAGGAAACCAAACCATCTATCACATGAACTTCAGCAGTAGTTTGATCATTTCCTTTTTGAAAAGTGCCGTTCAAATCATTAGCATTGCTCTTCGACGCCTCTCCAAAATCATTCATATGATTTCCAGTTATCATGGGATTTAAGTCACCCATCAGAACTCCTCCAGCATTAGCAGACTCGTTCCCAGGTTCTTTTTCAGTCAAGTCAGTTGTAGCAATAGGATTATTATCTTCGGATACTGGTGCAACTCTATCTGGCTGGACTTCCAAGATTTGCATCTGTGTTGTCTCATCTGAAGTACCTGGATTTAAGATAAGGACAAGTTACAGATTTGTGAACGACAATGAAAGAGCATCAAATAATTTTCATCTGTAATGTAACGAATCCAGAATTTCGATGCAGATTTAAAGATGAACACTGAACTGAGAATTCAATTGACAATTATAACAAAGGAAAGTGACTGTTTCCAGTAACACTGCAGAAGCGGAAGCGAAAAGCAACAAGAGTAATCCTCCAAACTTTTAGCATTCCTCGTGACATATATACAGAACATTACTTTAGCTTCCTTTAGTCCATGAGCATTTTGAAATGGATCTCAAAATAACTGCTTCAGCACAAGCTTGTCAATTGAGAAAGTCAAAATGTTGTCATCACAGCACCTTTGCTGCAATGTTGAGCCAAATAGGGCTCTTTTGACCACAACATATAACAAGCAGTCCATCCAAGGAGCTAATATAACCTATAAATAAGTTCAGTTAAACCTTACCACCGCCACTAACTGCATCCTCAGGGAATTCAACATTTGCTGTATCTTTGTGGGTGATTGTTCCTTTGAAGCCCTCCTCCAGGCGCTGTTGGAACCCCGAAATAGATCCAGTATCAGGAAAGTCAGCAACAGCATCCGAGAAAACATCATCTTCTGACTTATTCGACCTCCCCCCTGGTCCGCCACTGCTCATCTCAAAATGACTTCTCTCCAAAACTTTAGGACCTTGGACAATGAACACAAACAGAGCACCATGGATTCATTAAGTAACACAAACCCTTTACTTAAAATAAACAAAGGAAGGTAATGTTCTGTTTTGTCAACTTCAGCAGATACATATAGGCAGTACATTGGGTAGAGGGGAAAGGTCAAAACTAATATGCCTAAATAAATACAGAGCTGGCTTTGGTGATGAATGTTACCTCACACATTGCTTGCAAGACTAGCAGAAAACATAATAATGGTAGAAGCATATAGAAAGAGATGATGAGATAGAATGGAGGGAGGGAGAAAAGGGTGTGCTCACTAGGGGTCTTGAGATCCCCATCAGAGTGCTGATCATCATCAGAAACAGGGGAATGGGCAGTCTGAAGCTGTGGGAGAAGGCTGTAGCCTGGAAGCGTTCCACAGATCTTCCGGTGAGCACGTCTGTGTCTTGCGTTCGGATGTGGGTTGGGAAACGGCCACCCACATTTCTGGCAGACGTGGACTCCATGGCTCTCATGCCCTGTAACCCATGAAAATTCACACCACAGTCAGAACAGAGAAACCGACAAACGGATCAAAAGCTTTAAAAAAAACCCCCAAAGTTCAATTCACGAAACCCACAACGCACGGCAAGGATAAACACAGAAAAGAAACGAGATGGTAATCAGCCAAGCAGTAGAGGCAATGCGCGATCAAGAAGACCAAACAAGAACGGGCCCGAACTTTTGACAGTAAGAGGGAAGGAAGAAGAAAACCGGCGGAACGCAGCCGCGAGAGAGAAATCAAATCCAGCAGAGTGGCAAAGAAATTAGGAAAAGGGTAAGAAAAGATGGGGAAGGAGAGGCCAAATCCATGGCGAAAACGAACCTGGTGCAGCAGCAGGAGTGACATTGGTCCCGTGATCTGCCCGGCTCCCAGTCTCCATTTCTCTTTGAAACGCCGACCAAAGAAAGCTATCGAGAGACAGAGAAAGAGAGTATGGGTTGATCGAAAGACTGAGGTCTGAGAAAGAGGAGAAAAATGGGGCACAGAAGAGAGAAGAGTAACAAAGATTTGGGGTGTGGTATCACAAGACCCAAAAAGGCGAGACTTTTC